TTATATGTATTTAGATATAAGATCACTATATCAGTCACCTTTGAGTTATATACATATATTTAGATAAAATAATAATTATACTTCAGTGCTTCGTTCTCGATATATATGAACCATGTAGTTTCTTATATATTTAGATAGGTAATATTACATCACGCTACATCCAATAGGAGCAAAGGTGTTATGAAAAATATTGCAAAAACAAGGAAAATATAGACCAATTTGCGCATTAGTAGAGCGCCTTAAGGCAGAAATATTGTAAAATCTCGGAATCCATACATATCAGCTAGTTGAATCCTTACTAATATCACAGATAACATAATATTATAATTTTTAAAGAAGGGTAGTTTTTTTTTATGGATGTTAATGGTATGGTACACCCGCATGCGCTAACGGTTTACGCTAGCGGGGCACCAGTGAAGGATGATAAGATGAACATGAGGTCAGGTCAGTTAGCCCATCGTGACAAATTCACCATAAATTTAACACGATAGTTTCCAGGGGGAACCGCGTGGAGGTCAACCTGACATAGTACATTGTTAGTAATGAGGTCTCCACATTACTAACAATCCCTTTCCCTCTAGGAATGTTTATTACCCTTTCACGCAAAAACTACTGAACTGATCATCTTGAAATTTAGTACACATATTCTTGAAGCCGAATGACCGTAGGATACTATTTATTTGAAAAAAAAAACAAATATTTTTTATTTAATGCATTCAATGCGAGCGCAGCCGCGGGTAAAAGCTAGTATACAATAAAAGACATCGACTCTACTTTATCTGTAACATTTCTTATCTCAATGTGCCTGGCTTGGTACGTCAAGTATTAATATTTTGATAGCTATATATAGATAAGATAGATAAGAACTTTTGCTTGAGAAATATTATATACCAAAGTACTTACTGTAGACTGCGGCAACCGTTACAAGTTATGATCTGGTCTTGATTTACGATGCTCTTTGTTCCTTCGTTCGTTGTTGGTATAAAATACTTTATAGAGCATAGAAAAAAAATGATTTCTTTTTTAAAAAGGTCTACAGGACTGCTTACATTCGGGCCGCTGGCTGGTACGATATTCCGCATTTTTAAATACTTATATTTTAACCAGCTGAACACGCAAACGTTGTTTTGGCATATAAATTAAAATCACTATTAAAAAGTATAATTTATGTATATATGTATATATTATGTGTATTGAGAGCGTGGAATATGGGTTGCTGATAATGATGAAAAACCTTAGCTGGACCAGACTTTTTATATTTAAATAACACATGAATTTAATTACACTAAGCAACGTATGTTAGACAAAATCTTGTAAACCCAGAGAGAAAGAGATTCAATGACAAACTTGGGCACTTACGTATTGCTACTACCATAGACTGAGACATAAATTAATTATTTGTTACTAGCAACGATATAAAGAATTGTACATTCTTTATTCAAAAATTCTTCAATGTAAGTTTATTTTAATAAATAATTTTCTATTTTATATTCTTCAAATTATGAGTGATTTTTGATGATTCTTTTTGCGAACAATAGACAATAATAGTATTGGTTATCGATTTCTGTTACTGAGTAAAATGTACCTTCTCTTGATTTAGTTTGCTACCCTTGAGGTTTATTTTCCTATTTTTACCATAATTTTCGTGTGTATGAAACACCAAAAATATATTATTAAAAGCTGTATCTGCAACTTCGTCCGCGTGGAATTTAACTTTACTTATCTAAAAATAAAAGTAGCCTAAGTTACTTATTATATCAACTACCTGCCAAAACAAGTCCCGTCAAAATCGGTCCAGCCATTTCAAAGATTAGCCGGAACAAACAGACAGACAAAAATTTTAAAAAATATTATTTCGGCGTATGTACCGTATTATAATCATATGCATGTAGTAAAAAACGGTTATTTCAATATTACAAACAGATACTCCAATTTATATGTATAGATTAGTTGTGAAATCTAAGAGCACTTCAAGTATTAATTACTCAGTTCAGGATTTACGTTACTTTTAATAATTTTACAGGAGAGAATTCGTTATAAAAAGGATACGAGGTTACCGAGAGACGGACGAGGTGCTAATGGCGTCGAGACGTTGCTAGCGCGCCTACATTTTATCATGATTGATGACTGACGATGAATGAACTGATTTCTTTTTCACTTTCCTGCAAGATTGCGACGTGATTAAAATAAAACGTCAGCTACTTTGAATATAATAATAAATTACTGTAATTAAATTAACGGTTCTTTCTTATTTCTCACTTAAAAGTATGAGATGAAATTGATGATGGTTTCTAATTTTCCTGATTTGCTGTTAGAAAAGTTAGTAGATTCCGGAATTACTAGTTTTTATTTCGGACTAGCTGTTCCCGCGACTTCGTCCGCGTGGAATTTAACTTTATTTTTGTAAAATAAATGTAGCCTAAGTTACTCCTTATTGCAGCAGCTACCTGCCAGAAGTCCCGTCAAAATCGGTCCAGTCATTTCAGAGATTAGCGGGAACAAACAGACAGAGAGACAAAAATAGTAAAAAATGTTATTTTGGTGTATGTACCGTATTTATATTCATATGCATGTAGTAAAAAACGGTTATTTCAATATTACAAACAGACACTCCAATTTTATTTATATGTATTGATTATTTAAAAGAGCAACACAAGTTTCTTGCTCGTTCTTCTTGTGATGTTGTAGTGATAACAGCTTTCCGAATGAGCGGTAGATAAAAAAAATATTATGACTATACAAAAGTGCTTGAATTAAGTTTATTTGAATAAATGATTTTCTATTCTATTCTATTTTGAAATTCATCCGCTGTTTAAAGTAGTCATATTATGGAAATATATTTATATGAGTTAGCTTTATGTAGGTGAGGTTAAACAATATATATCGTTGTGATACATAAGACGACGGCCTCGGTGGTCTAGCGGTTTAGCACATCGCTTTACTTCCGATGGTCGCGGGTTCGATTCCTTGCACGGCGCAAACATTATAAATTAGGAAACATCCAGACCGTTACAAACAATCATACTCATAAATACAAATGTTTGCACCGTGCGAGAAATCGAACCCGCGATCATCATATGTAAAGCGGTGTGCCAACTTGCTATACTACAGAGGCCGTCAAACGTCTACTTAAAGTCACAATTCTTTCGATTTCAGTCTAATTATATATAAGAGCTTATGTTATGGGTACTAGAGACAACTGATATAAATACTTAGATTTTTTTGTAATAGAAACATAGAAAATACCCAGTGCTATAGAAACAATTACAATAATTACGTAATTAGGCTTCAATATCAAACCAAATTTTCTAAAAGTCTTAGTGTAATATAGCAAATGCTTCAGACTACCCCATCAAAGTCAGTCATGAATATATTATAGAAAAAAATACAACTTTCTTAAGAATTTAATAATGTTCACAACACATTTAATATTTCTCACTTATTTAACTTTATCAGCTCTATTAGCAGATAATTTTCAATTTTATGGTTAAAGCGTTAAAGTTTAATATCGTACGTACAAGTCTATTATAGGCAAATGTAAAGTTAGTAGGGCAGAAATATTGCAATTTCCTAGGTCACCGATTAGCTCGCAGCTACGGGAAATATATTATTAGGCTTCGTTTTATATCTAGGTCACGACATATCTCTTATATGTTGGCAAGAAAAGCCTTTCTTCAACATCATCTCAGCCCGGAAGATGTCCACTGCTGGACATAGCCCCCCCCTAAAGATCTCCACGACGATCGGTCCTGCGCTGCTCGCATCCATCGCCATGCAGCGACCTTGACCAGATTATCGGTCCACCTTGCCGGAGGCCTTCCCACGCTGCGTCTTCCGGTTCGCGGTCGCCACTCGAGGACTTATGGCCCCAACGGCAATCTTCCAAAAAGCCTTCTTTAGGAAAGTACATATGTTAGAGTTAAAGATCTTCAAAATGAAACTTCGGTTATGTTCAAACATTTTCCGAACACCAATCACTTCGGTCACATTTCAAAATCAACTCCCCCATTCGTTTTTTTTCGGAATACTCTAATGCTTTTGGCCGCAGCTGGCCTTGACAGCTTCACTGGACGAAAGGGAGCGAGTGCAGATAGCACTCCAAACCCGTGGAAGGACTTATGGAGCAGCTAAAGGCTCACTCCCAAATACATGTACACCCGGGCGAAGCCGGGGCAAGTAGCTAGTATATAATAAATCAGTACTCGTCCTTGTCATAAATGTCTTCTCTTTGTAATACAATAATTTTACCCGTCTTTTCTTCAATTTGAAATCAAACGCTATCCAGCTATTTGAAATGCAGATTAGACGAATTTACATATTAATTGCATTCAAAGCTTAGTGTTTCAATTGTGGATAGAATTCAAGTTATATTCAAATTTGCGAAGCAAAGTGTATTCGTAGGTAACGTTAATGCGCTGAAACTATCTATATACAAGCGACAATTTACACAGCACCATCTAGCCGCAAGCTTAGTAGAAATAGAAACAATTTGCATATTAGCCGGGTCTTAACACCCGTTAAACCCGTGTTAAGACCCGGTTAATAATATAAAGAAAGTTTAGAAATAATCTGTATTGAAATAAACTTAATATAAGCACTTTTAAACAGTCATGTTTATTATTCTACAACTCATTAGGGACGCAGATTCATTACAAGATCGAGTGTATGTGTTGTGACTTATGTTGTGGGTAATAGATTAGTGATATAAATACTCAGTTTTTTTTGTAAATCCATACATAATAGACATGGAAAATACCCAGACCGATACAAACAATCATATTAATAAGTATATATCTATTTTGCACCGTGCGAGGAATCGAACCTACAACCGTCAGAAATAAAGCATTATATTAAATCACTAGAGCAGCAAGGATAGCGGCAATTATAATGGCGCATACGAAATCGGGTGGTCAGTTAGTTTTTATATAAAGCGGATTCTACAATAATTGTGTCCGGCTATAGCCACAAATTATTAATAAAAGAATTTCCTATATTTGCAGCGTACCTGGACCCCTACGTTGTGCCAGCTAGCCTCGACCAGCTCCTGGTGTCGAGCGACGTGGTTGGCAATATAAGATTTAGTCACCCGACGCTCTACGTGTTCCCGGGAGGTCAAGGGGATGCTGCACTCTTCGGAATTAACGGATTTAACATGCTAGGTGAGTAATCTATCTGTTAGAGATAATACTATTTGTGGAAAAGGAAGGTAAAAGGTCAGTCTATGTCAGGTCAGTATGGTCAGGTACCTGAATGAGTGAAAGGGTTTCCTCATTGCCTAAAACTGGGACATCTCAAATTAATTAATAAAATAACCAAACAAGAAGCAATGAATTACAAGTAAGAAATGCCAGGATTGGTACATTCAAAATACCTAATATCGGGCTACTCGAACAAATACACCAATAGACTATTAAGTAAAAACAACATATGCATTTTGACTAGGGCCTTCACAGGACACTGCAAATTGAACAAACATATGGCAAGCCTAGGCCTGTGCACAACAAAAATCTGTAGATATCGCCAAACTGAAGAGAAAACGCCACTACACATCTTATGTGGTTGTAGCCAACTTATGCATAAACGAAATATCTCCTTTGGAAAGTTTACACTCTATCCTGAGGAGATAAAATCCATCACTCCTAAGAATATTCTTCAGTTTTTATCAATGACGGGTCTAGGTTTCAGCGAACTCTGAAAAAGGGCGAGCTCCAAGCACCAAGATCCAAGCACCTGACAATAGCCTAAACAACCCAATAAAAAATGTAGGGTTTCCTGGGTTCCTTAACAGGTAGCAGTATCCAGGAGATCTTTTCGCTTGCTTTCACTCAAGTAATCATCAATCAATCAATCTCTTTTGCAATTAATTTTATTGTAATAAGGGAACGCGAGACAAGGCGGCCCGTACTGTCATAGGTAAGAAAAAAAGGGAGGACAGAAACTAACGAGCTCTAATATAATAATTTATGCTTAAAACAGGAATAGCTTTGATTTTAATCACTGTCCTACCCCCGATCTATCCCCCGTCCAATTCAAACGGGGATCGAAATTACGACGTCCTGAGCCAAGCCGAGCCGAACCCCCAACGGTGCCCTCAGACTAAAGTCATATCCGTCAGGCGGGAGTTGGCCTTCAGCTACTCCGTAAGTCTATCCGCGGGTTTGGAGTGCCATCTGCACTCGCCTCCTATCATCCGCTGAAGCTGTAAATGCAGCTGCGGCCAACAGCATTAGAGTATTCCGAAAAAAAATCTCTATCCTTACAGGGTTAGTCCGAAAGGATATACTAAGTCGCATGGATATGAAAGTACCCATGATAATGAACAACTTTTGTTCCACAACTTCCCTGAAACCATATATTTTTTTCGAGAAAAAATAGGTTCAAAGTTGTTATCCGAAATTACAATAACATCAAAAGACACAGCCCTAAGATCAGCTGTTATCAGCCCTATCATAATAGGGAAGTATGCAATGACATTGATAGTTTTATGAATGAAAATGGGAGGCGTGCTTTTTCGGTTACGCCTACTTACCTTCCTCTAATCAAGAATGTTGGCTATTTTTGATTCAATACTAAAGAATAGGGTTGCCGATTCTTTGCAATCTTAATAATATTATAAACGAGAAAGTTTGTGAGTATGGACTATTTGACGGAGAAACTACTGAACGGATTTTGTTGAAATTTATAGTAATATAGCTTACGCATCAAAATAACTTAGAAGCTAAATTTTTATTAACATTTATATATTGAAACTAGCTGTCCCGGCAAACGTTGTTTTGCCTTATAAATTAATAACGCTATAAAAAAATAGGGGTTGATGATAGAAGGGTGAAAATTTAGGATTGTATGTATTTTTGTATGTTGTATCATAAAAAATAGAAACCAAAACTTTTGTCTAAAAAATTAAAAATAAAATTTAGGGGTGGACTACCCCTAACATTTAGGGGGATGAAAAATAGATGTTGGCCGATTTTCAGACCTACTCAATACGCTCACAAATTTCATGAGAATCGGTCAAGCCGTTTCGGAGCAGATGAAGATGTAGTCGGAAAGAGTATAACTCTTTGCGACTACATCTTCATCTGCTTCTTCTTTATTCCATTTATTTGGGGTCTGCGTAATATTTCTCTCTTCCATTCCTCCCTGTTCGCAGTCATCCCGTTATTTACTCCGTTTCTTACCATATCATCTTTCACAAAGTCCATCCATATCTTCGGCCTTCCTCTGCCCTTATTAACATCCACATTTATATGTAACACATTCAAAATATATCCATATACATTTAAAGTTAAATACTACATACTACGATGGACATATACATATACTTACATAATATGTTTATATACACAAATAATAAAAATATACATACATAAAATAAAAACGTATCGTTATCACTGATCACGGTTTTGGTGTTGCATCACAACTCGCGTAACTTTCGCAGCACAATTTTTCTTTATAACGATCCATATTCATATGTAACACCTTCCTTAAAATATTATCTTCATTCCTATACATTACATGCCCATGCCAAATTTCCGACTAATCCTATATATCTATCTATCTAACAATAGTTAGACAACGATGAAAAAATCATTATGCGACAGTCGAGGATCATATTATAATACCATTTGAAGTTATATTTGGCTCGGCTCTAGGGATTGGCTGCCGTTTCTCTTGGAAGTTTCTAGAATGCCTGGGGCGTATTCCGTTCGATTTTTCGAGATATACGACTATTGGATATGTTCCAAACTACTTTAGGCACATAACTCAGTATTCAACCTACGCATATAGGTGAGAATGAAAGAGATACTTTTATTAGAACCACAGGTAACCATTACAGAAGCGAGTACTTCTTGTTCTGTACTTTTTAGGGCTTGTTTTTTTAGTAGACAGGTATTTGCTTTTGGTCTTATTTTATATTAGCTTAAATTTTTCTGAGAAAACTTCCGGTTTTTTAAAAGAAAATCTATAAACGTCATCCTTATAGAATTTCTAAAACATGAAGATCCGTTTAGTCGTATAAAGGTTACAAACAGACTTGTGTATTTATAATGTTAGTATGGATATGGATGGTATGAGATATGGATGGATTGTGTATTTATAATATGGATACTACAGTCCAGTTCGATAGTATTGTTCAAAACTTAATGTTTCAAAATTAAATTACTTATACCATCTTCCAAAAAAAACTATAATAATAATATCCTTAGACAAACACAGCGCCATCTAGTCACAAGCTAAGCAGAGCTTGTTTTATGGGTATTAGACAAGTGATACAATAACTTAAATACAATTCTTTTCTATATACATAGAAAACATCCAGATGAACACAAAGAAATGGATATTAGACAACTGATTTTTTTTATAAATACATACATAATATTTATATAGAAAAATCGATCGATATTAGACAACTCATAGATATACTTAGATATATATTTCTTTGTAAAACCATACATAAAAAGAAAAACACAAAAAACACATTCTCATGAATACAAATATTTGCACCGAACCCGGGACGATTGCAAATAAAGCGGTGTACTAAACCGGTAGACATCGAGGTCTTGACAGCCTATACAAGAATAATGACATAATTTTCTAATACTGAAGTAGGTTCATTCGATACTATTAACATATCTCGCGTTTAGAAGGCTTTTAGTTTAAGTGCCATTTACTGTAGGATTTCTTGGCGGAGCGCCAATGTTAAGTGGAGTAGGTATACTGAGAAGCCAGCTCAGATTTCTAAGTCAAGGTTTATACACTATTCAACATAGGTAATATCATATTCATAAAAATCTTGACTTATTTCCAAAAAACAAAAATATTCATAATATTAATACTAGATTTAAAGACAAACTTGATGTCCCCAAGTATCGTTTAGAAAAGTCAATAGGACTTATATGAGAATAGGTATAAAAATTTACAATAAGATACCAAAGGATATATTGGAATTACTCTTAAATAAATTCAAAACATTTGTTAAATCATATTTACTGAGCAAAGCCGCTCACTGAACGATTACTTGAATGACGAGCGTGCATGGCAATAGTTGTTCATGCATGGTATTTTCATTTAATGTTAGATATAAATACCTATGCATTGTAAATAATATGATTTTTAAAAAAAGGTAATTCAATAGAGTTTCTTGCCAGTTCTTCTCAATTGAATATATATACCGAACCGGACGGAATATAATGTAAAAACTTGATGTTCATAAGCGGCTAAAATGTCCTACATGAATAAATGATTTTTAAATTTGAATTTGAATTTGAATAATATCATAATATAGACCAAATTTATAGATGGCTGCATTATAGAGATAACGTATTTATATATCAGGACTGGTGTATATTCAGTAGATCTGATTAGGTCGTAAACTATATTTTATATGCCTATATCTTAATCTTAATAATTGCAAACATCTACAACATTTATTTGAAACTAGCTGTTCTCGCGATTTTAACTTTATTTTTATAAATTAAAAGATGTTTTCTAAAATAAAAGTACTCCTTATTACATCAGCTACGTGCCAAAAAAAGTCCCGTCAAAATCGTATTTATATTCATATGCATGTAGTAAGAAACGGTTATATCAATATTACAGACAGACATTCCAATTTTATTTATATGTATATATGTATAAATATGTAGTATAAGTATGTAGATTTTAACTTTGCGAATTTGTCACCAATTCACAATAAGAACAAAAGAAACATTCCCTTGAAACTTTGAGGGGCGCAGTCATAATGACATCATAATCCTGTAAGTACTCCAAAATTCCCGGATAAACAAACGGCAAACACGTAATCCCTGTCTACAGCAAACTTGTGCGAATACAAAGAATAATGTAACTTTTCTCTTGCGGAAACATCCCAATAAATTTAATATAAGGAACATAAACAAAAATTTTAACAAACTCTAAGTTATTACTAAGAAATATTCAATATGAATAGAATAGAATAGAATAGAATAATATTTATTACTATCACACATCACAACACAACAATGACGATGCTCACAGCAGCATATAAATTATTATAACATATAAATATAAATAATAAATGCAATACACATCATTAAGAGAAAAAAATAATGAAATAAAAAAAAAAGCGAACAAGAAAATCAAACAAAAGAAAATAATATATATACTATACCAAAAACAATGATAAAAATAAAAAAAAATATGACAAATTGACAAATTGTACAGCCATCGTTGCTAACACTAGCTGTTAGCAACATTGTCATTCCCTATTTCAAATGTGCTTTTCGATTGAGAAGTTCTTCTTCTTCTTTCGTTTCATCGCCAAGTAAATATATATATTTGAATATATTTTCCCCAGAACGCCGCGACGACCCTTGCGCATTCCGTCGCATTTTCTAGGTCTTCCTTTGCTCGGCACAAAGGACAAGTCAATAGGTGTGCCATAGTCTGGGATGGCGCCGCAGTGACAAGCCTCCCTTGAAGCGGCACCCCACTTTACCAAGTTGTACCTGCATCATTATAGAATAGTTTTAATTGTTTATGTAAAATCTCACTCAATGAACGTGGTAGGTATAATAGGTAGGGTGGGTAAAAAAATAAAAATTTTAAATGAATAAATTGTATATTTGCTAACAATGGACTACATACAATAGTAGGTATAGTATTCTTAAAAATATACAATTAACTTGCCTTGAGATCATAATGATAAATAACTTAACCTACATTAATATCTAAATTTATACATGTATTATAAATTATTACATTTATCTAATTTACAATAAATAATCAATAAAGAATCTTAATCACTTTCTAATTCAACTAGAGAAATTCGCAACACCGTGTTTCACAAATCAGACATTCGCAAATCTGTGTTCGTAGTCTGTTGAGCGATTTCCAAATGGGCCATTGCAGGTCCTGGAGACAGGTGTTCCGCTGGTTGAATAAAGTCCAAAGGAGCAGGATGATTTAGCTCCCTTAAGTCTACTTTGGCTTTATGTGGGTCGTTGGTCAAAGCACCTGTCCTTCTTAAAAGAGTCTTCCTGCTTTTTAAGCGGGAATAGAGTGGTGGGAATCGGTCTCTTGTCTCTTTTTTTCTGTCTCGCACAACATCTATCGTCGAACATCTGGTGGAGCAATTCCTGAGAGTGGATACAGCATATTTAGGGGTGTTGGTTTGAGGCAGCCTGTTAAAATACGACTTGTCTCATTGAGAAGTAAGACAATGCAATGAATTTACAAGTTCGGGAGAAATGAAATGAAATAATCTTACATTTCATTTCTCCAACTTGTAAATTCATTGCATTCAAATAAACTTAATATTGCTTTTGAATAGTTACATTCTTTTTATTCTACCGCTCATTCGGAATCACAAGAAGAATGAGTAAGAAACTTCTGTGTTTCTCATGTCATCACATGCATCACCCTCAACTTTTAGACTCATCCATGCTTGGTTAAGGCCCGCGTGTTTGAACGTATTACCCTCGGAAGTAAGGAAGATACATAAAATATATATCAATATTAATCAGAATATTAGAACAATTCACACAGCGCCATCTAGTCCCAAGTTAAGCTAGTTAAAGCTTGTGTTTTAAGTATTAGACAACTGATAAAAATACGTAGATATATATATTTTTCTAAATACATACCTATTATACATAGAAAACCGATACAAACAATCATACTCATAAATACAAATGTTTGTGCCATGCGAGGAATCGAACCCGCGACCATCGGAAGTAAGACGGTGTGCTAAACCGCTAGATCACCGAGGCCGTCAAACTTAGATAATTGTAATCGTAATTTTAGCCCTTCAGACTCAGTGTTTATGTGTGAAAATAAATTCTATGATTATACATTTATAGTCGCATTTCAAATGTACAATATTTATACAATCCGTCCAGTCGCTAAATACATATGTATCTTTTTTATATTGTTATTCAATGGACCAAAGTAAACAGTAACAACATCAGATACGTGCGCCGCTCCAATTTATTTTTCAATTATCAACCCTTTCCCACATTTCAATGTTTGTTGTTGCTATCTGTACCGTTATTTAATTAAAGGTACAAATGTTTCAATATCCGGTATAATTGAAATGATATTTTTAAACTAGATATTAGTTATCTATACATATAAATGTTATATGTATAGTTATATAATATAATATGTAGGAAGATCGCGGAAAGTGGCAAGAGCTCCACCGACAAGAGCGTAGCTCTTAAATTATGAATGAATGAATGATACATATAAATGAAATTGGAGTGTCTGCTTGTAATATTGAAATAACCGTTTATTGCATATGAATATAAATACATACACCAAAATAGCATTTTTTTAAAATTTTTGTCTGTCTGTTTATTCCCGCTAATCTCTGAAATGGCTGGACCGATTGTGACGAAACTTTTTTTGGCAGATAGCTGATGTAATAAGGAGTAACTTAGGCTCAGGGAGTTATTTTAGAAAAATATAGATACAGCTAATATAATAATAATAATACAATAATATCAGGACAATTCATACATCGTCATCTAGACCCGTCATCTAAAGCTTGTGTTATGTCGATTAATCCGATCATTGGTAAATATTAGTAACAATCTCCTTTCCCCCTAGGATAGAGTGTTAGGTATTGAATATTGAGTATTGAGTGTTGAGTATTGAGTATTGAGTGTTGAGTATTGAATGTTGAGTATTGAGTGTTGAGTATTGAATGTTGAGTGTTGCGTGTTGAATGTTGAGTGTTGAGTACTAAGTGTTTAGTATTGAATATGCAGTATTTATGTATTATTATCTACAATTCCAGTGGACGGCGGTTTCTCCCGCAAAGCGTGCTGGTGGGATTTCGCCCGTCACCTGGACCGTCTGGATGCGGTCCTCTTCACCAGACTCAACAACTGCTCCGTGTCAGGCATGGCCGCGGTCCTACGCAGGAAGGCCTCGGCCACTGTCTACCCCCAAATTGGACATTTCTTCTGCAATCTAGAGGTAAATATGTACTGGAATATCTTTTGTCAATTTACCACGATGGTTTCCAGGGAGAACCGCGTGGAGGTCAACCTGATGGTATATAGCAATCCCCTTCTCATCCAGCGTTACTGTATTGGATGGCCCGGCGCCATGTAGTCGCCTCACAAGGTCTCGGATCAAGTTTGTAACACTATCCCAGACACTACACTTCATTGGGCACACTACTGATTGTATCAACATGTACATTGCATTAAGAAGTAAATAATACATTTATAAAAATACTAGCTTTTACCCGCAGCTTCGCTCGCATTGAATCCATTAAGTATAGGAACATTGCATCTTATACATTGACATCTAAACACAAAAATTTCAATTAGCTGAAAATATAGTTAATTGATTTATAACTTCATTACTGGCTGCAAGATGGCGCTGATTTATAACCTCATTACTTACTGCTAGATGGCGATGAGGTATCAAAATGTTGATATTTTATTTTTAGTTTTTTAAAAATATTTGGTTTTTTTTATTCACTAACAAACATAAGAAATAATAATAAAATATGTAAATAAAATTGTCTCTAATAAAATTTCCATGAAGGTGGGCAGGCTACTTTTAGTACGGATGTAGTCAACAATGTCCTGTTCCTTGGATAGGTACATTGCCCTGGTCGGTATTGCAGCTCGTAACAAGCAATAAGGCCGCCTTATTTTATTAATGTGTTCTTTAATATATTGTTCATGCCTTATCTTTAGCAAGTCAAATTGTGCGTCTTACATAGTTATAACTGTTCTATACTTAAATGAATTTCCCTAACTTTACCTTGAAAAGGTTCCTTTCAACAATAAGGCCGCCTTATTGTATACATATGTTGTTTAATATATTGTTTATCTTTAGGAAATGAAATCGCGCGTCTTACATAGTTGTTCTATATTTAAATCCGTTTCCTTAAATTTGCCTTTAAAAGATCCGTTTCAGCAATAAGGCCGCTTTTTGGTTTAGATGTGTTATTTAGTATATTGTTGCCTTTTCTTTACTGTATATTAGTAAAAGTATATTCTATCTGTGTATCTATGTAATAGTTTACTATTGACATTGTTCTTTACTGTATTATAAACCTATTCAAGCAAGAAACATTAGCTTCGACGCATCCAGTCGTGTGATTCAAGTTATTGCTTTAGTACATGTTACAACTTATGTAATATTGAATATAAATCGTAACGATTTTCTTAAGTGCCAGTGTTATTAATATTATAAATTATATATATAAAAATCTCGTATAACAGTGTTAGTGGCCAGACTTCTCCGAAACGGCGTAACCGATTTTCATTAAATTTTATATTTATACTTCGTAGGTCAGTGAATAGGTTGATATATTTTTTATAATCCTAAGTGATAAGAGTGACACACCCCAAATAATTTTTTGATTTTTAGACAACTTTTTTTTTAATAAAAAATAAACATACACTACTAATTTTTTTAGTTTATTTGACAAATATTTTTATTTTTCTATGACAAGTCATTAAAATATTTAATTACTCTGTAATAAAATACGTACACATTTAAAAAAACTCTACCAACCAACCCCTATTTTTCAATAGCGATTTTAATTTATACGGCAAAACGTTTGATGGGTCAGTTAGTATACATATAAATATGATATATCTTGCCAACAATATACATATATATATATATATATATATATGTCTATAGCATTCACTATAATAAATGAACCATTAAACTTTACAGCACCGCAGTCTGTTCGATTGTATCTTTTAAATTACGCAACGGATTTTAATGCAGTAATGTTACTAACAGGCTGGCCGTATAGCTTTATAGCTCTATATGTTTAAATTGTATTTTTTACTATTAAGAATAGTATTACATATTGTTGTATATAGAACCTTAGTGTTCAATAAATATTATGACAGACAACAAGTGATATATTAAGTGATTCAAGAGATTGATTATATATAACAATAATCTATAATAATAATAATAATCTCAGAACAATTCACACAGCGTCATCTAGACCCAAGTTAAGCTAGCTAAAGCTTGTGTTATGCGTACTAGATAACTGATACAAATACATATATATTTTTTTTTGTAAATACATACATATTATACATAGAAAACACCCAGACCGATACAAACAATCATACTCATGAATACAAATGTTAGTGCCGTGCGAGGAATCGAACCCGCGACCATCGGTCGTAAAGCAGTATGCTAGACCGCTAGACCACCGAGGTCGTCTAGCTATATAAGGTTAACTAGCTTTTGCTCGCAGCTTCGCTCGAGTTAATTTATCCCCTTAAGGGTGGAATTTACCAAAATCCTTTCTTAGGGGATGCCTACGTCATAGTAGCTTTATGCATGCAAAGTCTCAGCACGATCGGTTTAAAATTGACAAAGTTTCATACAAATTTTCGTCCCCTATTTTATCCCCTTGTGGGTATTGTGGGTATATAATTAGCGGATGCCTACGTCATAACATCTACCTGCCTGCCAAATTTCAGCCCGACCCGTCTAGTGGTTTGGGGTGTGCGTTGATAGATTAGTCAGTCCTTTGATCACTATGTTAGTCAGTCCTAAGACCTTTCAGTTATATATGTTTATATATGTACATATGCGTGTTACAGTACATATATAGCAAGCCGAGAAATTCAAATTTGTAATGCATCCTTGCGAAGCCGGGACATCTCTAAATATATACATATAAATAAAATTAGAGTGTCTGTTTGTAATATTGAAATAACCGTTTTCTACACATGTATATGATTATAGATACGGTACATAGATAAAAATAACATTTTTAAAAATTTTTGCCTGTCTCTCTATATGTTCCGGCTCATCTCTGAAATGGCTGAACCGATTTTGAGAGGACAGGATTGGCAGGTAGCTGATATAAAACGGAGTAACTTTTTTTATTTTAGAAAAATAACGTTAAATTCCACGCGGACGAAGTCGCGGGTACAGCCAGTAGATAATATAAAAACATATATTAATGTTGTGCCCCAAATATTTCCAGGAGAGACGAGCTATTGCAAGTCCAGATGGTGATAAAGACGCAGACCCTCTTCTAGTGTCATTACTACAAGAAGGGTCTGACATGATGACCGACCTGAGGCACATCAATCTCAAACCACAGCACTGCTACAGAAGTCCTGAGCCCATCAACCTCTACCACAAAGTGGGACATGGTATGTAGCTGTTAGTTTAGTATGTTATTTATTTAAACTTTATTGTATGTATCTTTGTACAATAAAACTTAATACAATAAGGTGCCTTTACACGTACGCTCTTTAACGCACAAATAGATTTTCACGCACGAAAGAGTTTTTTTTTTCGGACTACTCAAATGCTGTTGGCCGCAGCTGGCCTTTACAGCTTCACCGGACGTTAGGGGGCGAGTGCAGATGGCACTCCAAACCCGCGGAAGGACTTATGGAGCGGCTGAAGGCCAACTCCTGCCTGACGGATACGACTTTAGTCTGAGGGCACCGCTAGGGGTTCGAACCTCGGCTCAGGCCGTCGTAATTTCGATCCCCATTTGAATTGGACGGGGATCGATCGGAGGAGGGATCGATCGGAGGGGAGCTAAACGAAAGAAGCACGAAAGAGTGTGCATGTAAATGTAGACGAATGGAACGAAAAAAACGCGCGCTGTATCTTTGTACAATAAAACTTAACTCTATTAGTATTCAATAGCCTTTACACGTAGATAGATAGATAAACATTTTATTCACGGTAAAGGCACACACACACACAAGACACTGTATAATAAGATCAAAAATAAAAACAGACATACAATTACATTAGTCAAGTCAAACAAAATACAATACACAACAAATATACATAAAAAATAAAATGCAACACAGTTAACAAAAAAACGGTATAAGTAACGTAGTGTGTGTGCATAGCCCATACGCAAAAAGGCAGCACCTCAGTGTATTGTTTGCTGCTTAGCAGCAAACCACTGATATTCAGGCACTGCCCAGAAACACGCGAGGACGCATGTAACAAGATGTACGCTCTTTAACGCGCAAATAGTCTTTCACGCACGAAAAAGTGTGCATGTAAATGTAGGCAAAGAGAACGAGAAAGAGTTATTTAAACATGCGTGCGCCCCTTCAATCGATCCCGCGTCCAATTCAAACAGAGATCGAAGTTACAACGGCCTGAGCCGAGGTTCGAACCCCTAGCTGTGCCCTCAGACCAAAGTCGTTTCCGTCAGGCGGAAGTTGGCCTTCGCCGCTCCAAGTCCCTCCGCGGATTTGGACTGCCATATTCACTCGCCCTCTATCGTCCAGTGCGGCCGTAAAGGCCAGCTGCGGTCAACAGTATTAGAGTAGTCCACAAAAAATCATACGTGCTTTTTTAAATTCAAAATATCTTTATTCATGTAGGTCTATTACAGACTCTTATGATATGTCAAATCGACAGTCAGTTCGGAATGATATCGAGATGAGAAGAACTGACAAGAAACTCAACTCGTATTTTTTTCAAATAATAGTGGGTCATAAATAATTAAATAATTAATTATCAGAAATAATTAATTATCACTGCAAAAAGGGTGAACGCCTTACTGTGGAGCAAATATGTAATTATAGAGTTATTGATAATCTATAAATGTAAACGTGTATTTGTAAAAAATGTATGTGAAATGAAATTTGTTACTAAAATTAAATAACATGAATATACACGCGTAAGAGAGTGAATAAAAAAATTGTTAAATGTAACCCTAACGCGGCTTTTTGCGTGCGCTCCTGATCGCGCGTGAATGAATGTACAAGACATTCATTTAAAGGCAACTTCCACCAAACAAATTTAGGGAGAGCAGAGACACTCGAAGGCGGTTTAGTATTTCATTTAATAAATATTAAGTAGGTATAAGAGCACATATACATAACAAGATAATACATACAAACAAATAAGATATATTTCTTTATGTAATTGGGAAACAAGCTGACGGCCCACCTGATAGTAAATGATTGCTGTCGACTGTACAGATCAACAGTATTAATATTCTTCTATTATCGTGCGATACCCGTGATACCACTTATGCCTTGCATTCGAAAGGACTTATGCCTTGTTGCCTTCTAACCTGTAATATTACTGCCTAATCGCACCTTACCACTGAAAAACAGCTTACTAAGCAAGCAGCTTGACGACTGGAATAGGTATCCATGCAAACGACTTTTTAATTTACCTCTGGTGATAATGTAATTATTATTTCTGATATAATTATTTATTAATTAAATTATACATCTTTTACATAAAAAAAATTTTTTTACCTTTCAGGCACCCTTGACATGTACGTACTGAATCCGTCCAAGGACTCCAAATACGTTCGTGAATTTTTGAAAAGGTGGCACAATAGTGAACAAAAACTATTTGAAGGTACAAGTGCATCAGGGCAATTCAATTTTCCAATACCGAATTTAGTGTCGATATGTGCGCTATTAGTGTGGCGTCCGGCCAATCCAGATGACACGATAACGAGGATAATGTTTCCTGGCTCCACACCGCAACACAAAATTTTCGAAGGCCTTGAAAAACTAAAACATTTAGAATTTCTACAACACCCAACATGCACGGGCCGACAAATGGCAACGGTTGCACAGCCTGTTAGTACAGCAACAAGTGTATCTACAACAAAATCAGTAAAACACTCAACATCTAAATTTAATAAAGAAAAAAGTTTAGTCACAGATAAAACGAAAGACGATAAAACGGTTGAGCCGGAACCTCCGCCACAAAAGGATAGTATAATTAGAGATATAACTGATTCTAAAAATATTATAGACAATAAATTGCTCAGTGAACTCGTTGAGAATGAAGATAAGAAAATTGAAAGCGTGTTACAGGAGGCTATTACTGCACGAATAGAATCAAAATTAGATGATAAAATAGCTCAATATGAGAGCACTGTGATAGATGGATTACCTAGAAAGAAAGATGTAAAAAAGAAAGAAAAGATTATAGAAAAGAAATTGAAACGTGCTGACAAGACTGATACTAAAGAAGATACTGTAGGTAAAACTAATGAATCAAAAAAAATAGAAGACGTGAAAACAAAAAAGAAGTCTGAAAGTCGTGTAAAATCGGATGTTACAACATCAATAACTAAAAGTAAAGTGAGCTCGCGACCTACTCAAAAGAAAACCTTACCAGGAGAAAGAAAACCAGTAAGCGAAGACAAGAAGTCTCCACCAACTACGCCAAAAAAATTGGTAGACTCCAAGATGCCATCATCAACAACATTAACAGTCACAAAAGACAAAGTAAAAAGTAAGACTAGGAAACTAAGTCCAAGCAGTACGCCTGCTAAGAGTGCCAAAGAAGCCAGTAATCGACGTGTGGTAGAATCAAAATACAAACAAGCATCTCCAAAACGAGATATTATGTATAAACCACCTGAACGTAAAGAATCTAAATCCAAGCGAGAACCTATATCCCGTAGACCGAGGCCACTTGCTTCCCCCATTAAGGGATTAAAAGCCATGAAAAGTCCTTCAAAATCCATTAAGTCAACAAAAGCTGAAACTTCTAAATTAAAAGGATTACAAAGGGTTAATTACGAGGATATTTTAAAAGACGCTAAAAAATCAGACGAAGAGACATCTAAATCTCTTGATGACATTAAACAGCAAGAACTGGATGAAAGAGAAGAACAAGAAATTGTAAGAGAAATTGAAGCCGTTTTTAATAGAGATAGTGAAGCTGATGAGAAAATAGAATATGTAGGACGATCAGATATTGAAAAAATTACTTGTATGATAGATAACACTAAAACAGAAGTAACAACAGATGGAGAATTTGAAGAGGAATATTTAATAATAGAAAAAGAAGAAGTAGATCAATATACTGAGGATTCAATTGTTGATCGAGAGAGTAGCCATGAGCAAGAAGAAGAATTACATAAACTTACTAAAGATAAGGAAGAATCTGAAAAAAAGAAAGACCATCCTATTTTAGATGAGACTAAAATTCAAGAGACTAAGTCAAAGTTAGAAGATAGCTTAGAAACTGAATTAAAAGCTTTAGATTCAAAGGATCATTCCGAAAGTCTAGAGGAAAAGCAAGATATAAGTAGTGAAAAAAAGACCTCTGAAAGTAAAAGTGGAAAACCTAAGGACTCTCTTGAGTTAAATATTGTCCAAGAATCACAGCCTGATGAAAAAATATCAACTACTATAGAATCTGGTGCTACCACAGCACCAACACTTCCAGAAGATGAACGTATAACACTTGATGGAATTAAAGAGAATCTTCAAATTGAGGAAAAACATATTCAAGAAGAAACTAAGGAAATAATCCCTCCTCAAACTTTAGTTGGTGTCGAAAAACCTTTGTTAGCTGAAAGAATTCCTAAAATAGAGTCTCAATCTGTTCTAGTTAGGGAAATTGTCAAAACGCCCGATGAAGTAGCAGATCTTCCTTTGCATGAAGAAGTAGACTACAGAACCTATGAAGAGAAAAAATCTCCAATTGAAGAAGATATATTCAAACGTAAACCTGATGTAGGATTTATTCATGAAATTAAAGTACCAAAAGATTTATCTCTACCAGATCGTGACATTGAAGATAATATAGTAGTAAAAACTGTACAAGGAGTATCTCATGCTGAACTTGTTACTGTAACTCCTGGTTCAGCACCAGAGTCTCCCATGTATCATGAACAAATAAAAATTGCCTCCATTTCTGAAAAAGACTTAGAACCTGTGAAAGAATACGACAACAATGAGTACAATTATAGACAATATACAGAACAACTGAGAGAAACACACATTACAACTCTAGATTCTCCTATAAAGGAGGATATCGTGATTATAGAAGAGATACCTTGTATGCCTGAAAAAATTCCATCTATACCAGAGGACGTTGAAAAAGAAATAGAAGAAGCACAAAAGTTGGAAATGTTAGAGAAACTTCCAATTAGTCCAAAAGACGTAGAAAAAATTGTAGCCGATGTTGCTGAAGTTTTAAAATCAGATAAAAGTTTGGAAGAAATTATGGCTCAAAAATCCCCTGTCATACATAGTAAATCACCAGACACTTTTGATAGAACAGAAACTACTATAGTAGGTGCAATAGAAGCTTCAAAATCAATCTTATCAACTAAAGAAGACGTAAAAGATGAGGCTTTGGAAGATATATCAAGTAAAAAAGTAAAAGAAACGAAGATAGATTCAAAATTAGACCATGATGTTATTGAAATACACAAAGAAGCATCACCTGTTAGGTCAATTACTTCAGAAGATGTAAGTGACATTTCAGATAAAACTGTTTTAAGCGAAGGTAAAAGAACAAAACGTGACATTAAAGATGAAAAAATAATAACATCTGAAGATTTAGTAGATGATGATGAAAAGGATTCTGAAGTAGTCAAAAAAGATCAGAGTGCTTCAAAGCATTCACCAGTAGAGAGCAAATTAATAGAAAACGGAGACAAGACCAAAGAACATATTCCCGATAATGTGCAAATAGCCACATCATATGAACCAGATCTTAATGTACGAACTACTGATAGTAAACACTTAAGTGGCTCGTTAGATTCAGCAAAAACATTAGAAAAATTAGAAGAAAAAATAATCGATATAAAAAAGGATAAAGAAATGTCTTTAGATATAATTGAAAAAAAGTGCGATGACATATTACTTACTGAAAAGAAAAGTCCTGTTCACATTCTTCAAAAATGTTCTGAGATTTCGAAAGATACAAACCATGAAATTGATAAAATAAAGTCTTTAGGTGAAATAGGTGAAACTAAAATTGATTTACAAAATGGTACTGACACAAAAGCAGCAGACAATTATAAAATTGAAAAGGCACTTCAACCAATTACCGATAGGGCTGATAGCGAAACTACTACCAAACAAATTACTAGTCCCGACAAAGAAACAATAATTTCCGATAAGTCTGATGCAGAAAAAAATATACAAGTTGTGCCCAAATATCAAGACTTGGACAATAAAGTTGTTGATAGTAAAATAAACAATAAAGAAAAAAGTCAATTACGAAATACATACTCACTTTCAATAAAAGAAGGTAAAAAACAGTTCGTGTCTGAGAAAGACAAAGATGAAATGAGCACACAAGATGTTTCAGATACAATGAAATCATTAGAAGAACAAATTTTAAAAAAGGTATCAACAGACAAATTCGATAAAGTACAAGTCTATTCAGATAAATCTGTGACTGAATATGGCATTGATCAAAACCATTTCGAACATCACGATTATAAAGATAAGGCATTAAAACCTACTATAAAAGATGAACAATATAACTTAGACAAAGACACTTCACAGGATGAAAATAGCGGAATTCCTTTTGATGATATTGCTCTCACAAAACAAGAAACTGAAACTAATTTTAATACGGAATTGGAAAAACTGAAAGAAAATAATAAATATATAACTGACGAACTAATAAATATATTTAAATTGGTTGAATATGAGAAACCTGAGGAAATTATTACATCAAAACATGAAATAATTAGACAAGGATCTATAATTATAAAACGAACCATAGTAACTAAAACAATTAAAACAAAGTATGCAAATTCACAAGGAGAAGTGACCAAAGTAAAAACTATCACATTGAATAATACCATTGATAAAACCCCAGACGGAACTTTGAAGTCATATACTGATAGTAATATAACTGTATCAAATATAACCGAGGATGGCTTAGAAGAAGAAATTGATGATGATAGTATTCCAATAATAGCAAAAGTTGATCTTAGTTCTGACATCAAAAAAAGAATAAGAATAAAAGATAAAGAAAGTCTTGTAGATACTGAACTTTCGGACCTAAAAGACTTTTACGAATTCGGTGAACCAGAAGAAGAAATAAACACAAAAATTGAAGAAATTGAACGAGAATCTTTCACTGTTAAAAGAACAATTGTAACTAGAGTTATTAAAACCAAATACGCTGATGCACATAATGTTATAAAGAAATTCAAAATAGTTACAATAACCAATACAACTGAAGAGAAAGAAGATGGGTTACCTACTACAAAACTTGATGAAACAATAAGAATTGTGGATGTTGATGAACCTGACAAAGAAGTATTTGCAGAAAAAGAAGAACCAATTAAGTCTTTTACTGAAGAATCCAATTTCACTTATATGGATAAAGAAGAACGAGACTTACAACTAGCAACAAGCCCGAAAATAGAAGTTCAAAATCAACATAAAGTTATAGAATGTGCAAAGGAATATAATTACGGTAAAGACGACAGTTCCGCTCCGGAACAAGAAGATAAGGATATTAACTCAGAGAAAAAAATAGAAAGTACCAAAATCTTAAGTGGAATATCCCTCAAAAAGGATCCATTTAATATAACAGATGAATATAGAGCCTTAGACAAACAAACTGAATTAAGAACTAGTCCTCAAAAGGAAAGAATTTCTAAAATTGAAGAATCACATATCCATGAAGAAGGTCAATCATCTACTGAGCAAATACTTAGAAAGGATAATGTATTAGAGAGAATAGCAGAATCTCCACAGGCATTGTCTACCAAAACGGAACCTATTTCTAGAAAAGTAGAAGATACGGATTTAAAGCAACAGACTATGATAGCAATTAGCCCCGAAAAAGAAATAAAATTCACTACTGAAGAAAAATATAAGTCTAAAGTCAGTCCTCATGAAGAAATATCTACCACATCTATTAAAAAGGAAATCACTGTCCATGAAGACGACCGCTCATCTCCTAAGAAAGTAGTCGAAAAGGATTCTAATCTGGAGACAAAATTCGAATCTCACAAGGTATTGTCACCCGAGAAATCATTTTCGGACAAATCAATAGACTCAGATATGCATAAACAGACTGAATTTGGGACTATTTCTGGAAAAGAAACAATCTCTACAACTGAACAAAAGATAAAGACAGAGGTCAGTTTACAAGAAAAAATATCTACCATTGAAAAAGAATCCAACATCCTAAAAGAAGAGCGTTCATGTTCTGACCAAGTACTTGAAAAAGATTCTATTCTAGCGACAATAGCTGAATCTCCTAAGTCAATATCACCTGAGGAACCTAATTTGCAAAAACCTTTAGATACAATTGTGAAAATACAGACTGAAATAACAGCTATACCAAGAAAAGACACAACATCTGTTTCTGAATTTATGCCAAAAGAAGAAGTCATTCCACAAGAAGAAACGTCTGCACCATCTTTTGAAAAAAAATCAGATATTTGTAAGGAAGAGCGAGTATCTCCGGATCAATTATTGGAAAAGGATACTATCTCAGCGATAAAAGCGTACTCACCGCAGGAGTTGTCTCCGAAACAGGAACCTATTTCGGCAAAAACCATTCATACAGATTTGACGGAATTAAGTCCCGAAAAAGAAGTGTCTACAACTGTACAAAAAATAAAAACAGAAGTTACTGAACATGATCAAATAGAACTCAGAAAAGAAATAACTTCAGCTATTGAAGAAAAATCAAAGACAGAGGTCATTCCACACGAAGTAATATCTGCTACACCTCTTGAAAAGAAAACCGGTATCAGTATAGAAGACCGATCATCTGATGATCAAATATTTGAAAAGGATTCAATTCTCGTGATAAAAGAAGAAATTCCGCAGACGTTATCTCACAAAGAGGAACCTACCTCAGGAAAATCCGTAGATATATCTGTGGAAAAACTGAGTGAATTAAGAACTAGTCCCGAAACAGAAACAGTTCTTGAAATTGAACAAAAGATGAAGACAGAGACCAGTCCAGAGGACAAAATAGAACCTGCTAAATCTGTTGATAAGGAATCGACTGTTCGTGAAGAAGGTCAAACATCTCCTTTGGTACCGTCACCAAAAGATGTAACAATTTCTGAAAAAGCAGAAGATATAGGAGTAAAAATACAAACTGAAAAATTACCTGCCCCGGAAAAAGAAACAACTTTTGCTATTGAAGATAAACAAAAGACACAGGTCATTCCACACGGAGAAATATCTGCCACACCTCTTGAAAAGGAATCCGGTATCAGTATAGAAGACCGATCACCTGTCGATCAAATATTTGAGAAGGATTCAGTTTTGGTGACAAAAGAAGAAGTTCCCCAGAAGTTGTCTCCCAAAGAGGAACTTACCTCAGGAAAATCCGTAGATACAGGTGTAGAAAAACTGACTGAATTAAGAACTAGTCCCGAAAAAGAAACAATATCTAAACCTGAACAGAAGATAAAGATCAAGGCCAGTCCACAGGATGAAATAGAACATGCTAAATCTGTTGATAAGGAATCGACTGTTCTTAAAGAAGATCAGACATCTCCTTTGGTATCGTCACCAAAAGATGAAATAATTACTGTAAAGGCGGAAGATATGGGTGCAAAAATACAAACCGAAACAATACCGGTATCCGGAAAAGAAACAACTTCTACTATTGAAGAAAAATCAAAGACTGAGATTGTTCCACATGAAGAAATATCTGCCACTTCTTCTGAAAAGGAATCAGTTACCAGTATAGAGGACCGATCATCTGTTGATCACATATTTGAGAAGGATTCAGTTCTGATGACAAAAGAAGAAGTTCCGCAGAAGTTGTCTCCCAAAGAGGAACCTACCTTAGAAAAATCCATAGATATGGGTGTGGAAAAACTGACTGAATTAAGAACTAGGCCCGAAAAGGAAACAATCTCTAAAACTGATCAAAAGATGAAGACCGAGGCCAGTCCACATGACGAAATAGAACCTGCTAAATCTGTTGATAAGGAACCGACTGTTCTTAAAGAAGATCAGAAGTCAACTTTGGTATCGTCACCAAAAGATGAAACAATTTCTGAAAAATCAGAAGATATAGGTGTAAAAATACAAACTGAAACTATACCAGTCTCCGAAAGAGAAACTTCTGCTATTGAAGAAAAATCACACGGAGAAATATCTGCTACACATCTTAAAAAGGAATCCGGTATCAGTATAGAAGACCGATCACCTGTCGATCAAATATTTGAGAAGGATTCAGTTTTGGTGACAAAAGAAGAATTTCCGCAGAAGATGTCTCCCAAAGAAGAACCTACCCCAGAAAAATCGGTAGATACAGGTGTGGAAAAACTGAGTGAATTAAGAACTAGCCCCGAAAACGAAACAATCTCTAAAACTGAACAAAAGATGAAGACAGAGGGTAGTCCAAAGGACGAAATCGAGTCTGTTGATAAGAAATCAACTGTTCGCGAAGAAGTTCTAACGTCCCCTTTGGTATCATCACTAAAAGATGAAACAATTTCTGAAACAGCAGAAGATATAGTTGTACAAATACAAACTGAAAAAATACCAGTCCCCGAAAAAGAAACAACTACTACTATTGAAGAAAAATCAGAGACTGAGATCGTTTTACATGAAGAAATATCTGCCACTTCTCCTGAAAAGAAATCAGTTGCTAGTATAGAAGACCGATCACCTATCGATCAAATGTTTGAGAAGGATTCAGTTTTGGTGACAAAAGAAGAAGTTCCGCAGAAGTTGTCTCCCAAAGAAGAACCTACCTCAGGAAAATCCGTAGATACAGGTGTGGAAAAACTCAGTGAATTACGAACTAGTCCCGAAAAGGAACCAATCTCTAAAACTGAACAAAAGATGAAGACAGAGGGTAGTCCACAGGACGAAATAGAGCCTGTTGATAAGAAATTAACTGTTCATGAAGAAGTTCAAAAGTCTCCTTTGGTATCATCTCTAAAAGAAGAAACAATTTCTGAAACAGCAGAAGATATAGGTGTACAAATACAAACTGAAAAAATACCAGTCCCCGAAAAAGAAACAACTTCTACTATTGAAGAAAAATCAGAGACTGAGATCGTTCTACATGAAGAAATATCTGCCACTTCTCCTGAAAAGGAATCGGTTGCTAGTATAGAAGACCGATCACCTGTCGATCAAATATTTGAGAAGGATTCAGTTTTGGTGACAAAAGAAGAAGTTCCGCAGAAGTTGTCTCCCAAAGAAGAACCTACCTCAGGAAAATCCATAGATACAGGTGTGGAAAAATTCAGTGAATTAAGAACTAGTCCTGAACAGGAACCAATCTCTAAAACTGAACAAAAGATGAAGACAGAGGGTAGTCCACAGGACGAAATAGAGCCTATTGATAAGAAATTAATTGTTCGTGAAGAAGTCCAAATGTCTCCTTTGGTATCATCTTTAAAAGAAGAAACAATTTCTGAAACAGCAGAAGATATAGGTGTACAAATACAAACTGAAAAAATACCAGTCCCCGAAAAAGAAACAACGTCTACTATTGAAGAAAAATCAGAGACTGAGATCGTTCTACATGAAGAAATATCTACCACTTCTCCTGAAAAGGAATCGGTTGCTAGTATAGAAAACCGGTTACCTGTTGATCAAATATTTGAGAAGGATTCAGTCCTGGTGACAAAAGAAGAATCTCCGCAGAAGTTGTCTCCCAAAGAGGAATCTACCTCAGAAAAATCCGTAGATACAGGTGTGGAAAAACTGACTGAAATAAAACCTAGTGCCGAAAAAGAAACAATACCTAAAACTGAACAGAAAATAAAGACCGAGGCCAGTCGACAGGACGAAATACAACCTGCTAAATCTGTTGACAAGGAATCGACTATTCTTAAAGAAGATCAGACATCTCCTTTGGTATCGTCACCAAAAGATAAAATGATTACTGAAAAGGCGGAAGATATAGGTGCAAAAATACAAACTGAAACAATACCAGTCTCCGGAAAGGAAACAACTTCTACTATTGAAGAACAGTCAAAGACTGAGATCGCTCTACAAGAAGAAATATCTGCCATTTCTCCTGAAATGGAACCGGTTACTGGTATAAAAGACCGGTCACCTATTGATCAAATATTTGAGATGGATTCTGTTCTGGTGACTAAAGAAGAATCTCCACAGAAGTTGTCTCCCAAAGAGGAACCTACCTCAGAAAAATCCATAGATATAGGTGTGGAAAAATTGACTGAATTAAGAACCAGTCCCGAAAAAGAAACAATCCCTAAAACTGAACAAAAGATGAAGACCGAGGCCAGTCCACAGGACCAAATAGAACTAGCTAAATCTGTTGATAAAGAACCGACTGTTCTTAAAGAAGATCAAAAGTCAACTTTGGTAACGTCACTAAAAGATGAAACAATTTCTGTAAAGGCGGAAGATATGGTTCCAAAACTACAAACTGAAACAATACCAGTATTCGGAAAAGAAACAACTTTTACTATTGACGAAGAGTCAAAGACTGAGATCGTTCAACATGAAGAAATATCTGCCACTTCTCCTGAAAAGGAATCGGCTACTGGTAGAGAAGACCGGTCGCCTATTGATCAAATATTTGAGAAGGATTCAGTTCTGGTCACAAAAGAAGAAGCTCCGCAGAAGTTGTCTCCCAAAGAGGAACCTACCTCAGAAAAATCCATAGATATGGGTATGGAAAAATTGACTGAATTAAGAACTAGTCCCGAAAAAGAAACAATCCCTAAAAGTGAACAAAAGATGAAGACTGAGGCCATTCCACAGGACCAAATAGAACCTGCTAAATCTGTTGATAAGGAACCGACTGTTCTTAAAGAACATCAGAAGTCAACTTTGGTGACGTCACCAAAAGATGAAACAATTTCTGAAAAGGCGGAAGATATGATTGCAAAAATACAAACGGAAACAATACCAGTCTCCGAAAAAGAAACAACTTCTACTATTGAAGAAGGGTCAAAGACTGAGATCGTTCCACATGAAGAAATATCTGCAACTTCTCCTGAAATGGAATCAGTTACTGGTATAAAAGAACAGTCACCTATTGATCAAATATTTGACGATTCAGTTCTGGTGACTAAAGTAGAAGCTCCGCAGAAGTTGTCTTCCAAAGAGGAGCCTACCTCAGAAAAATCCATAGATATAGGTGTGGATAAATTGACTGAATTAAGAACTAGTCCCGAAAAAGAAACAATCCCTAAAATTGAACAAAGGATAAAGACCGAGGCCAGTCCACAGGACCAAATAGAACCTGCTAAATCTGTTTATAAAGAACCGACTGTTCTTATAGAAGATCAAAAGTCAACTTTGGTAACGTCACCAAGTGATGAAACAATTTCTAAAAAGGCGGAAGATATGGTTACAAAAATACAAATTGAAACAATACCAGTATCCGGAAAAGAAACAACTTCTACTATTGAAAAAGAGTCAAAGACTGAGATCGTTCCACATGAAGAAATATCTGCCACTTCTCTTGAAAAGGAATCGGTTACCAGTATAGAAGACCGATCACCTGTTGATCAAATATTTGAGAAGGATTCAGTTCTGGTGACAAAAGAAGAAGCTTCGCAGAAGTTGTCTCCTAAAGAGGACCCTATTTCAGGAAAATACATAGATATAGGTATGGAAAAAATGACTGAATTAAGAACTAGTCCCGAAAACGAAACAGTCCCTAAAACTGAACAAAAGATGAAGACTGAGGTCAGTCCACAGGACCAAATAGAACCTGCTAAAACTGTTATTAAGGAACCGACTGTCCTTAAAGAAGATCAGACATCTGCTTTGGTATCGTCACCAAAGGATAAAATAATTTCTGAAAAAGCAGAAGACATAGGTGTAAAATCACAAACTGCAAAAATACTAGTCACCGAAAAAGAAACAACTTCTACTATTGAAGAAATGTCAAAGACTGAGATCGTTTCACATGAAAACATATATGCGACTTCTCCTGAAAAGGAATCGGTTACCAGTATAGAAGACCGATCACCTGTTGATCAAATAAATGAGAAGGATTCAGTTCTGGTGACAAAAGAAGAAGATTCGCAGAAGTTGTCTACCAAAGAGGAACATACCACAAGAAAATCCGTAGATACAGGTGTGGAAAAACTGAGTGAATTAGAGAGAACTAGTCCCGAAAAGGAAACAGAGGGTACTCCACAGGACGAAATAGAGCATGTTGATAAGAAATCGACTGTTCGTGAATACGATCAAACATCTCGTTTGATATCATCACCAAAAGATGAAACAATTTCTGATGAAGCAGAAGATACAGGTGCTAAAATACAAACTAAAACAATACCAGTATCGGCAAAAGAAACGACTTCTACTGCCGAAACTATTGAAGAAAAGTTAAAGACTGAGATCGGTCCAAATGAAGAAATATCTGCCACTTCTTCTGAAAAGGAATCGGTTACTAGTATAGAAGACCGGTCACCTGTTGATCAAATATTTGAGAAGGATTCAGTTTTGGTCACAAAAGAAGAAGTTCCGCAGAAGCTGTCTTCCAAAGAGGAACCTACTTCAGGAAAATCCGTAGATACAGGTGTGGAAAAACTGACTGAATTAATAACTAGTCCCGAAAAAGAAACAACATCTAAAACTGAACAAAAGATGAAGACCGAGGCCAGTCCACAGGAAGAAATAGAACCTGCTAAATCTGTTGATAAGGAACCGACTGTTCTTAAAGAAGATCAGAAGTCAACTTTGGTGTCGTCACCAAAAGATGAACTAATAACTGAAAAGGCGGAAGATATGGGTGCAAAAATACAAACCGAAACAATACCAGTATCCGGAAAACAAACAACTTCTATTATTGAAGAAAAGTCAAAGACTGAGATTGTTCCACATGAAGAAATATCTGCCACTTCTTCTGAAAAGAAATCGGTCACTAGTAAAGAAGACCGATCACCTATTGAAATATTTGGGAAGGATTCAGTTCTGGTAACAAAAGAAGAAGCTCCACAGAAGTTGTCTCCCATAGAAGAACCTAGCTCAGAAAAATCCATAGATACAGGTGTGGAAAAACTGACTGAATTAAGAACTAGTCCCGAAAAAGAAATAATCCCTAAAACTGAACAAAAGGTGAAGACAGACGATAGTCTACAAGACGAAATAGAGCATTCTAAATCTGTTGATAAGGAATCGACTGTTCTTAAAGAAGATCAGAAGTCAACTTTGGTGTCGTCACCAAAAGATGAACTAATAACTGAAAAGGCGGAAGATATGGGTGCAAAAATACAAACCGAAACAATACCAGTATCCGGAAAACAAACAACTTCTACTATTGAAGAAAAGTCAAAGACTGAGATTGTTCCACATGAAGAAATATCTGCCACTTCTTCTGAAAAGAAATCGGTCACTAGTAAAGAAGACCGATCACCTATTGAAATATTTGGGAAGGATTCAGTTCTGGTAACAAAAGAAGAAGCTCCACAGAAGTTGTCTCCCATAGAAGAACCTAGCTCAGAAAAATCCATAGATATAAGTGTGGAAAAACTGACTGAATTAAGAACTAGTCGCGAAAACGAAATAATCCCTAAAACTGAACAAAAGTTGATGACAGAGGATAGTCCACAGGATGAAATAGAGCATGATAAATCTGTTGATAAGGAATCGACTGCTCTTAAAGATCAGACATCTCCTTTGTTATCGTCACCAAAAGATGAACTAATTACTGAAAAGGCGGAAGATATGGGTGCAAAAATACAAACGGAAACAATACCAGTATCCGGAAAAGAAACGACTTCTACTGTTGAAACTATTGAAGAAAAGTCAAAGACTGAGATCGTTCCACGTGAAGAAATATCTGCCACTTCTTCTGAAAAGAAATCGGTCACTAGTAAAGAAGACCGATCACCTATTGAAATATTTGGGAAGGATTCAGTTCTGATAACAAAAGAAGAAGCTCCACAGAAGTTGTCTCCCAAAGAAGAACCTAGCTCAGAAAAATCCATAGATACAGGTGTGGAAAAACTGACTGAATTAAGAACTAGTCCCGAAAAAGAAATAATCCCTAAAACTGAACAAAAGGTGAAGACAGACGATAGTCTACAAGACGAAATAGAGCATTCTAAATCTGTTGATAAGGAATCGACTGTTCTGAAAGAAGATCAGAAGTCAACTTTGGTGTCGTCACCAAAAGATGAAACAATTTCTGAAAAAGAAGAATATACAGGTGTTAAAATACAAACTGAAACAATTCCAGTCTCCGGAAAAGAAACAACTTCTACTATTGAAGAAGAGTCAAAGACTGAGATCGTTCCACACGAAGAAATATCTGCCACTTCTTTTGAAAAGGAATCAATTACCAGTATAGAAGACCGATCACCTGTCGATCAAATATTTGAGAAGGATTCAGTTCTGAAGACTAAAGAAGTTCCTCAGAAGTTATCTACCCAAGAAGAACCTACAGCAGGAAAATCCGTAGACACAGGTGTGGAAAAACTGAGTGAATTAAGAGCTAGTCCCGAAAAGGAAACAATCTCTAAAACTGAAGACAAGGTGAGGACAGAGGATAGTCCACAGGACGAAATAGAGCCTCTTGATAAGAAATCAACAGTTCGTGAAGAAGATCAAACGTCTCCTTTGGTATCATCACCAGAAGATGAAACAATTACTGAAAAAGCAGAAGATATGGGTGTAAAAATACAAACTGAAAAAATACCAGTCCCCGAAAAAGAAACAACTTCTGCTATTGACGATAAATCAAAGACACATGAAGAAACATCGGCTACACCTCTTGAAAAGGATTCAGTTCTGGTAACAAAAGAAGAAGCTCCGCAGAAGTTGTCTCCCAAAGAAGAACCTACCTCAGGAAAATCCGTAGATACAGGTGTGGAAAAATTGACTGAATTAAGAACTACTCCCGAAAAAGAAACAATATACAATACTAAACAAAAGATGACGACCGAGGCCAGTCCACAGGACGACATAGAACCTGCTAAATCTGTTGATAAGGAATCGACTGTTCGTGATGACGGTAAGACATCTCCTTTGGTATCGTCACCAAAAGATGAAATAATTTCTGAAAAAATACCTGTCCCGGAAAAAGAAATAACTTCAGCTATTGAAGATAAATCTAAGCCACAGGTCATTCCACATGAAGAAACATCGGCTACACCTCTTGAAAAGGATTCAGTCCTGGTAACAAAAGAAGAAGCTCCGCAGAAGTTCTCTACCAAAGAGGAACCTACCTCAAAAAAATCCGTAGATATAAGTGTAGAAAAACTGACTGAATTAATAACTAGTCCCGAAAAGGAAACAGTCTCTAAAACTGTCCAAAAGGTGAAGACAGAGGATAGTCCACAGGATAAAATAGAGCATGCTAAATCTGTTGATGAGGAATTAACTGTTCTGAAAGACGATCAGACATCTCCTTTGGTATCGTCACCAAAAGATGAAACAATTTCTGAAAAAGTAAAAGATACAGATATTAAAATACAAACTGAAACAATACCAGTATCTGGAAAAGAAACGACTTCTGCTGTTGAAACTATTGAAGAAAAGTCAAAGTCTGAGATTATTCCACATGAAGAAATATCTGCCACTTCTCTTGAAAAAGAATCGGTTACCAGTATAGAAGACCGATCACCTGTTGATCAAATATTCGAAACGGATTCGGTCCTAGTGACAAAAGAAGAAGTTCCGCAGAAGTTGTCTTCCAAAGAGGAACCCACCTCAGAAAAATCCATAGATATAAACGTGGAAAAACTGACTGAATTAAGAACTAGTCTCGAAATAGAAACAATCCCTAAAACTGAACAAAAGATGAAGATAGAAGCCAGTCCACAGAACGACATAGAACCTGCTAAACCTGTTGATAAGGAATCAACTGTTCTTGAAGAAGTTAAGACATCTTTGGTATCGTCACTAAAAGATGAAACAATTTCTGAAAAAGCAGATGATATAGGAGTAAAAATACAAACTGAAAAAATACCTGTCCCGGGAAAAGAAACAACTTCTGCTATTGAAGATAAATCAAAGACACAGGTCATTCCACATGAAGAAACATTGGCTACATCTCTTGATAAGGATTCAGTCCTGGCGACAAGAGAAGAAGCTCCGCAGAAGTTGTCTCCCGAAGAGGAACCTATCTCAGAAAAATCTATAGATATAGGTGTGGAAAAATTGACTGAATTAAGAACTAGTCCCGAAAAAGAAATAATCCCTAAAACTGAACAAAAGGGGAAGAGAGAGGCCAGTCCACAGGACGACATAGAACCTGCTAAATCTGTTAATAAGGAATCGACTATTGGTGAGAAACCTCAGACAGCTCCTTTGGTATCGTCACCAAAAGATGAAACTATTTCTGAAAAAGCAGAAGATATAGGAGTAAGAATACAAACTGAAAAATTACCTGCCCTCGGAAAAGAAACAACTTTTGCTATTGAAGATAAACAAAAGACACAGGTCATTCCACATGAAACATCGGCTACGCCTCTTGAAAAGGATTCAATCCTGGAGACAAAAGAAGAAGCTCCGCAGAAGTTGTCTCCCAAAGAGGAACTTACCTCAGGAAAATCCGTACATATAAGTATGGAAAAACTGACTGAAGTAAAAACTAGTCCCGAAAAGGAAACAATATTTAAAACTGACCAGAAGGTGAAGACCGAGGATAGTCCACAGGATGAAATAGAGCATGCTAAATCTGTTGATAAGGAATTGACTGTTCTAAAAGAAAATCAGACATCTCCTTTGGTATCGTCACCAAAAGATGAAACAATTTCTGAAAAAGCAAAAGATACAGATGTTAAAATACAAACTGAAACAATACCAGTATCTGGAAAAGAAACGACTTCTACTGTTGAAACTATTGAAGAAAAGTCAAAGTCTGAGATTGTTTCACACGAAGAAACACCTGCCACTTATCTTGAAAAGGAATCGATTACCTGTATAGAGGACCGATCACCTGTTGATCAAATATTCGAAAAGGATTCGGTCCTGGTGACAAAAGAAGAATCTCCGCAGAAGTTGTCTCCCAAAGAGGAACCTACTTCAGGAAAAGCCGTTGATACAGGTGTGGAAAAACTGACTGAATTAAGAACTAGCCCCGAAAAGGAAACAATCTCTAAAACTGATCAAAAGATGAAGACAGAGGCTAGTCCACAGGACGAAAAAGAGCATGCTAAATCTGTTGATAAGGAATCGACTGTTCTAAAAGAAGATCAGACATCTCCTTTGGTATCGTCACCAAAAGATGAAACAATTTCTGAAAAAGCAGAAGATACAGGTGTTAAAATACAAACTGAAACAATACCAGTCTCCGGAAAAGAAACAACTTCTGCTATTGAAGAAAAGTCAAAGACTGCGATCGTGCCACATGAAGAAACATCTGCAACTTCTCTTGAAAAGGAATCGGTTACTAGTATAGAAGACCAATCACCTATTGATCAAATATTCGAAAAGGATTCTGTCCTAATGACAAAAGAAGAAGTTCCGCAGAAGTTATCACCCAAAGAGGAACCTACCTCAGGAAAATCCGTAGATACCGCTGTGGAAAAACTGACTGAATTAAGAACTAGTCCCGAAAAGGAAACAATCTCTAAAACTGAACAAAAGATGAAGACAGAGGCTAGTCCACAGAACGAAATAGAGCATGCTAAATCTGTTGATAAGGAATCGACTGTTCTAAAAGAAGATCAGACATCTCCTTTGACATCGTCAGCAAAGGATGAAACAATTTCTGAAAAAACGGAAGATACAGGTGTTAAAATACACACTGAAACAATACCAGTCTCCGGAAAGGAAACAACTTCTACTATTGAAGAAAAGACAAAGACTGAGATCGTTCCACACGAAGAAACATCTGCCACTTCTCTTGAAAAAGAATCGGTTACCAGTATAGAAGACCAAGCACTTGTTGATCAAATATTCGAAACTGATTCGGTGCTGGTGACAAAAGAAGAATTTCCGCAGAAGTTGTCTCCCAAAGAAGAACCTACCTTAGAAAAATCCATAGATATGGGTGTGGAAAAATTGACTGAAGTAAGAACTAGTCCTGATAAGGAAACAATCTCTAAAACTGAACAAAAGATGAAGACTGAGGATAGTTCACAGGACGAAATAGAGCCTGCTAAATCTGTTGATAAGGAATCGACTGTTCGTGAAGAGGGTCAGACATCTCCTTTGGTATCGTCACCAAAAGATGAAACAGTTTCTGAAAAAGCAAAGGATACAGGTGTAAAAACACAAACTGAAATAATACCGGTCCCCGGAAAAAAAACAGCTTCTGCTATTGAAGATAAATCAAAGACAGAGATCATTCCACATGAAGAAACATCTGCCACTTCTCTTGAAAAGGAATCGATTACCAGTATAGATGACCGATCACCTGTTGATCAATTATTCGAAAAGGATTCGGTCCTGGTGACAAAAGAAGAATCTCCGCAGAAGTTGTCTCCCAAAGAGGAAGAACCTACTTCAGGAAAATCTATAGATATGGGTGTGGAAAAACTGACTGAATTAAGAAGTAGTCCTGAAAAGCAAACAATCTCTAAAACTGATCAAAAGGTGAAGACAGAGGATAGTTCACAGGACGAAATAGAGCCTGCTAAACCTGTTGATAAGGAATCGACTGTTCGTGATGAGGGTCAGACATCTCCTTTGGTATCGTCACCAAAAGATGAAACAGTTTCTGAAAAAGCAAAGGATACAGGTGTAAAAACACAAACTGAAATAATACCGGTCCCCGGAAAAAAAACAGCTTCTGCTATTGAAGATAAATCAAAGACAGAGATCATTCCACATGAAGAAACATCTGCCACTTCTCTTGAAAAGGAATCGATTACCAGTATAGATGACCGATCACCTGTTGATCAATTATTCGAAAAGGATTCGGTCCTGGTGACAAAAGAAGAATCTCCGCAGAAGTTGTCTCCCAAAGAGGAAGAACCTACTTCAGGAAAATCTATAGATATGGGTGTGGAAAAACTGACTGAATTAAGAAGTAGTCCTGAAAAGCAAACAATCTCTAAAACTGATCAAAAGGTGAAGACAAAGGATAGTCCACAGGACGAAATAGAGCATGCTAAGTCTGTTGATAAGGAATCGACTGTTCGTGAAGAGGGTCAGACATCTCCTTTGGTATCGTCACCAAAAGATGAAACAATTTCTGAAAAAGCAGAAGATACAGGTGTTAAAATACAAATGGAAACAATACCAGTATCCAGAAAAGAAACAACTTCTACTATTGAAGAAAAGTCAAAGACTGAGATCGTTCCACATGAAGAAACATCTGCCACTTCTCTTGAAAAGGAATCGATTACCACTATAGATGACCGATCACCTGTTGATCAATTGTTCGAAAAGGATTCGGTCCTGGTGACAAAAGAAGAATCTCCGCAGAAGTTGTCTCCCAAAGAGGAACCTACTTCAGGAAATGCCGTTGATACGGGTGTGGAAAAACAGACTGAGTTAATAACTAGTCCCGAAAAAGAAACAATCTATAAAAGTGATCAAAAAATAAAGACCGAGGTCAGTCCTCAGGATAAAATAGATACTGTTACATCTATTGATAAGGAATCGCCTCTCCGTGAAGAAGACCACTCTACTCTTCAGATATTGTCACCGAAAAAGGAACCTATTTCAAAAAAACCTGAGGACGAAACTGAGGCCAGTCTACACGAAGAAATATCTTGCACATCTCTTGATAAGAAATCAAGTGTCTGTAAAGAAGACCGCTTATCTCCTGAACAAGTAGTTGAGGAAGATTCTGTCCTAGCAAAAAAATTAGAAACTCCTAAGGTATTGTCACCCAAAGAACCTACGTCGGATGTTAAAGAAGTTATAGATACACATGTAGAAAAACAGACTGAATTAAGATCTAGTCCCGAAACAGAAACAATCCCTGTTAGTGAACAAAAATTAAAGACAGATGTTGGTGCAGAGGAAAAACTACAATTTGACACATCTCTTGAAGAGGAATCACCTGTCTGTGAAGAAGGCCGACCATCTCCACATGTATTATCTCCCAAAAATGAACTTAGTACCGGAAAAACTGTAATTACAAGGGTGGCAGAAACGACTGAATTAAGAACTGAACAAAAATTATCGGATGTCATTCCACAAGAAAAAATAGAACCTGTAACATCTCTTGGAAAGGTATCAACTCTCAGTGAAGATAAATCATCTCTTGAAAAGAACTCTATACCGGCGACAAAAACAGAATCGGTACATGTATTATCTCCCAAAGCGGAATCTATTTTAGAAAAACCAGTAGATACAGTTATGGAAAAACATACTGATATGAGAACTAGTCCCGAAATAGAAGCGAGCTCTTCTACTGAACAAGAAATAAAGAAAAAAATCAGTCTACAGGAAGAAACGGAACCTACCACTTCAAAAGATCTGGTGGGTTCAAATACAACTATAAAAGAATCCTTATCAAAAGATAAAGAATCATATATCTGCGAGGAAGACAGAATATCTCCAGAGTTAGTATTTGACGATGATTCTGTAAAATCAGAATCTCCGCTAGGATTGATTCACAAAGAGGAGACTATTTCTATAAAAGCTGAAGACACAGCTGCGGAAGAAAAAATTGAATTAAAAACTAGTCCCGTAAAAGAAACGAGCTCTACTACCGAGCACCTAATAAAGACAGAGGTTACTCCAAAGAAAGAAATAGAACCTACCACATCTCTTAAAAAGGAATCAACTATACATGAAGAAAGTCAATCATCTCCTAAGCAAGTGCTTGCTAACGATGCACTCGAGATAATAGCAATATCTCCCCAGTTATTGCCTTTGAAAGAAGTACCTATCGCCATAACTAAACAGCAGCCTGAGGTCAGTCCACAGGAAAAAACAGAACTTCTTGATAAAGAATTAATTGTTCGTGAAGGCAAATTACCTCCCGAACTAGAAAATGAAAAGGATACTGCCGTCACAATAAAAATAGAATCCCCGCAGGGATTACTTTTAAAAGAGGAACTTATTTCAGAAACAGCTAAGGATATAGTTGTACCCCAACAGACTGAACTAAAAACTAGTCCCGAAAAAGCAATGCTTATTACTGAAGAACAGTCAAAGACAGAGGTTAGTCGACAGGAAGAATCAATACCTGCTACATCTACTGAAATTGATCCCAGTTTCTGCAAGAAAGGTGAATCATCTACAGCGGTAATACCTGAAAAAGATAGTATACCTGCTGTTAAAGCAGAATCTCTACATCAAGTGTCTCTCAAAGAAGAACTTACTTCGGGAAAAGTTGAAGAAAAACAGATTAAAATAAGAACTAGTCCCGAAAAAATAACAATCACTACTACTACTACTGAACAAGAGTTAAAGAAAAAGATCAGTCCACAAGAAGAAGCAGTAGTTGTTACATCTGTGGAAACAGAGCCAAGTGTCTGTAAGGAAGATGAATCAAGTCCGGCAATTTTAAGTGAAAAAGATAGAGATATCTGTGTAATAAAAGCTGAATCTCCTCAGAAATTGCCTCTCAGCGAAGAACATACGGAAAATGTTGTAGAAACATATATTGAAACAAGAAGTAGTCAAGAAAAAGAAACAATCTCTGATCAACAGTTAAAGGTAGCGATCGGTCAGCAGAAAGAAACAGATGTTGTCATATCTCCTGCACAAGTAATTGAGAAGGATATTATTCAAGCAATAAAAACAGAATCTCGACAGGAGTTACCCTTAAGAGAAGAGCCATTTTCGGAAAAAGCCGTAAGTTCAGCTTTGGAAAAACAGATTGACTTAAAAACTAGTCCTGAAAAAGAAACTATATCGACTATTGTAAAAGAATTAAAGACAGAGGTCTGCCCACAGAAAGAAACAAAACCTACTACTTGCCTAGAAAAGGAATCACCTGTCAGTGAAAGAGATCAGTCATCTCCTGAACATTTACTTGAGAAGGTTTCTATCCTGGGGACAAAAGCAGAGTCTTCTCAGATATTGTCACCCAAAGAGGAACCTATTTTGGGGAAAGCTGAAGATAGAGCTTTGAAACAGAAGATTGACATAGTAACTGGTCCCGCAAAAGAAATAGTATCTACTACTGACGAAAAGTTAAAGACAGAAAGCAGTCCATACCAAGAAATGTCTGCCACATCTCCAAGTTTCCGAAAAGAAGACCGACTATCCCCCGAACTAATACAAGAGATGGAAACCATTTTGGAGACGAAAGTAAAACCATTGCAGGGATTATCTCCCAAAGAGAAAGCTACTTCAGGAAAAGCGTTAGATATAGATGTCAGCTCACAGGAAAAAATAGAACTTGCCAAAACTCTTGAAAAGGAATCAACTGTTCGTGAGAAAGATCAGTCATCTCCAGAACTAATATTAGAGAAGGATACTATCCTACCGACAAAAGAGGAATTTCCGCAAATATTGTCTCCCAAAGAGGAATATATTTCGGAACAAGCAGAAGATATAATTAATAAACAAAAGATTGAAACAAAAACTAGTCCCGAAAAAGAAACAATATCTACTGACGCTAAATTAAAAGCAAAGATTAATTTAGACGAACTAACTGCCATATCACCTGAAACACAAATAGGTTTCCCTAAAGAAGAGTTATCATCTCCAGAGCTAGAATTAGAAAAGGATACTATCCTGGTAACAAAAGCAGAATCTCAGCAGATATTATCTCCAAAAATGGAACCTATTTCGGAAATAGTTGTAGATAGAGCTGTGGAAAAACATATGGAATTAAAAAGTAGTTCTGAAAAAGAAACTATCTCAACTAGTGTAAAAGAATTGAAGCCAGAGTTCTGTCCTCAGAAAGAAACAAAACCTACTACTTATCTAGAGAAGGAATCACTTCTCAATGAAAGAGACTATTCATCTCCCGAGCAATTATTTCATAAAGTTTCTATCTTGGCGACAAAAGCAGAATCTCCTCAGATATTACCACCCAATGAGGAATCTATTTTGGTACAAGCAGAAGATAGGGCTTTGAAACTGGAGACTAAGATAATAACTAGTCCCGGAAAAGAAACAATCTCTACTACTGAAGAAAAGTCGAAGACAGAAAGCCACGATGAAATATCAGACCGACTTTCTCTCGAACTCGTACCAGAGAAGGTAACTATCCTGGAGACAGAAGTAAAATCTCCGCAGGCATTATCTCCCAAAGAAAAAGCTACTTCAGAAAAAGCTCCAGCTGTAGAAAAGTTATCTCCCGGGAAGAAACCTGGTATTGATTATGACGATGATACCGATAGTTGTGAAAAGGAGCAGAGACCAACAATAGAAGAACAATTGAGTAAAAAGGTTAGTGCACATAAAGATATAGAACCAGAGCCGATTTTTACCAAGGAATGCGAAAAGAAAACTACTTCAGCTACTGAAGAACAGAAGGAAGCAATAGAACAAAGCATATTTGTATCCTCATCGACTAAACATTACTTTGAACAAGGCGAAGAAAATTCAACTACGAAGCCAGATTCAATATTACTCTCTGAATACGATATACTTAGAGAATTAGAAGGCCTTTCTGTATACGGAGAACCTGAAGAAACTATTACAACACAAACTGAAGAAATCAAACAGCAAACCATTATTATTATCAGGACAACTGTAACGAAGACTATTAATACCAAATACGCAAATATACACGGTATCGTAACGAAAATGAAAATAGATACTATAATAACTATTACTGATATGTATCCAGATGGATTTATAACCACTAAAGAAAATAAAACTGTCACTGTTGTTGATATAACGCCGGAAAGTGGATCCGTTTCTATAGAAAATAATGTACCTGATTTATCCAGTTGTTTTGAGAATGGTTTATCACTAGATACAAGACAAACAGATAAAAAAATTAAGTTACCAGATGTATTAAATGAGATAAAAGAATCCCAACAGGACATAGAACCAATCAAAGAAACAAAGGATGTGTTGGAAACAACATTGGATTTCAGTGTTGCTAAAAGTAAACGCGAAATGGATACACATAGAATAAAAGAAAGACAATCATTTGATGATGATCATAGTTGTAAAGAATCACATATAGACTCTGAACAAAAGATTTCTTCTATAGTAACTGTGGATAGCGGTGTGAGTGCCAGAGATAATTTTATGCCAACTTTGGTACATGGTAGTAGTTCAGAAGATATTTCAAGAGAGGTAAGTTTAGAGGAAAAATATAGTTATGAGAGTACTGAAAAGGGAGACAAAAAAACTATTGGCAAAGACTTGAAAGAAGAAAGCTCTATTACTAATATACCAACCAAATCAGAAGTACCTAGTTTCCCGATAGACAAGATTTCTAAAAAAATAGAAGTGTCCCAGTCTGACTCACCCAAGGAAGTTCAATTGTCTGAAACAGATGATTCAGGTATTCATAGTATTAATTTGGATACAGATCAAATGGTTCCTATTTCAGATCAAAGCTCATCTAATCAAAAATCTAATGATAGTGCACTCAAGCTGCTAGAATCTATCCATAAAGCATTTAACGAAGAACAAGTTCAGCAAGGTATTATAACAGAAAGCCTAGAATCACTAGAACCACATTCAGAATTCGATAGAGTTTCTACACCTCCAACAGTTCCTGTGAGTCCATTACCAAAAACTCCAGGTGGGTTTCAAGACGTGAAAGTTACCGAAGGAGTACAAAGTGAAATAACATATGATAAACCTGATGGCTGTGAAGAAACTATTACCAAAGTTGTACATGTAGGAGAGGATGTGCTGACTCAAAAAATTTCAACATCTACAGAAAAAGTAACCAAACCTAAATCAATGATTGATATTGATGGTGACCCAGATTTAATAGGCCTTATGCAAACAATGGGGAAAATCAAAACTGAAACAGATACAATAACAAAAATTATTAAAGAAGGCGAAAATGTAGTTACCCAAACTATAACAACAGTTACAACTAAAGAAGTGTTATCAAGAGAAGATGGTACACCTCAAAATATTAAGACAACTATTGAAACTACAACTTTAAGCAAGGGATCAGATGGTACTACTACCACCACTAAAGATACTCAAACTTTATTATCTGAATGTTCCTCCAGTCTACGATCGACATCCCAAATGGATATAAATGTTAAAGATACTAAATTGGATAAAGATGTATTGGAAACAAGTGAGACTAAATCAGACATTCAGATTGACAAAATGATGAACGATCAAGAGTCTTCCATTGACAAAAATATATTTGCGGGAGAAATGGATGAGTCAGATGTAGAAGATACTGTAATAGATACAGATGTTAGTAAGAGAATAATTAAGGAAAATAATGTTGATATTATAGAGACTGTTACCACGATTACCAAAAAGGAAACACTGAATATAAGTGACAGTAAAAAAATTATTAGAACCACTATTGAAACAAATGTAGATAAGGAATATCCAGATGGTTCTAAAGATGTACAAAAGAATGTTGAAGTTAAAACCGAAGAAATTATTGTTGATTGCAGTAGTAATGTTGAAAAGATATTAGATAATTTTATTATATATGGTGAACCAGAAGAAAGCGTTACAACTGAAACAGAAAATATATTACAAGAAAATATTATAATTAAACGAACAGTCTTAACTAAAGTTATTAAAACTAAGTACGCTGACACAAATAATAGGCCTAGAAAAATGAAAATAATTACAACTATAACTACTACCGATGATTATCCAGATGGATCGTCTACAACTAAAGTTGACAGTAGTACTACATTAACAGATATAGACTTTGATGATGTTTCAGAATCACCGGATCTCGTTGATTTCACAGAAGTCATAGATAAATCAATAAAAGTAGATAAATATGAGAAAAATATTTTTATTGACGGGAAAAGTGTACTGCAAGTTATAACAATAACGACATTGAAAGAGATATTAACCACTAAAGATCAAGAGAAGCAAAAAGTTAAAACTACTATAGAAACAGTTACAGAAACATTTAGAACTGATGGATTAACCGAAGTAACAAGAGACGTCAAAGTCACTGTTTCCGATTATGAAGTAGATGCAACTGAACAAAGTTTAGAAAATTATGTAGAAATAGGTCAACCAGAACAGACCACTAGTACAAAGACAGAAGAACTAGTAGAAAATGATATTCAAATAAAAAGGAAAATTACAACCACAACATTAAGAAATGAATTTCAAAATAGTCAAGAACAAATTAAAAGAATTAAAACAACTGTTAAAACAATTGTTGAAGATGAATATCCAGATGGGTCCATTATTGTAAAAACAAGTGAAAAAATAACATTTTGTGATGAGTCACTTACATCAAAATCTACCGATATAGTTTCGTCTAAAAATATTTACACAGATGATTCAGAATTAATGGAATATAATACAGAAACAACTTCTGAAAGTAATGAAATAGAATCAGTACTTAAAGAGTTAATTCCAAAGGGAACCCCAGAAGAAACTGTGTCAACGAAAGTAGAAGAAATCAGAGAAAAAGATATAACGATTAACAGAACGATTATGACTAACATTCTTAAAACAAGATACTCCGATGATAATGGAATTATAAAAAAAATAAAGACAACTACAACAGTAACAACTACTGATCAGTATCCAGATGGTACATTACGTACTACTGTCGATAAGAGTACAGTACTAAGTGATATAGATATCAATGTCGACAAAGAAAATGTTGAACAATCTAGTATTGAATCTTCTGAAGAAATGACAGATAACACGAAAATCGAAGTTATACTTAGAGAATTAATTCCAGAAGATAAACCAGAGGAAAGTGAATCTACTGTAATAGAGGAAATTAAACAAGACGATGCCACTATTTTGAGAACAATTATAACTAGAATAGTCAAGACGAAATATTCAGACAGTCATGGTATTCTAAGAAAACTAAAAATAGTTACTACTGTTACTACTACTGATCGATATCCAGATGGATCATCTCGTACAATGGTAGATACTAGTACATCAGTAAGTGATATCGAGACATCTGACTTTGTTCAAACACAAGATTTAAAAGAATATCCTAATTTAGAAGATAAGACTGTAAATGTCGATACTCAAGAAAATATTGTATTTAAATATGGTAAGCAAGTTAAACAGATTGTTACTACTACAACTACTAAAGAAATTTTCTCATCCATTGATTGTTCTAAGAAAAAACTCAAGACAACTACTGAAACTGTAACTGAAACGATGCTTCCCGATGGAGTAACTGAAGTTACAAAAGATGTAAAAGTTTCAGTAGCTGACTATGGGCTAGAAACATTTGATGAAAATTTAGAAGGATATAGTCAAATTGGCTTACCAGATGTGCAAACAACTTCTGAATTAGAGAAAATCACAGATAGTGGAATATTAATTACAAGGAAAACTACCATTACTACTATAAAACAGCAATTTGAGAACACTTTGATAAAAAGTAAGAAACTAAAAACTACTGTAAAAACAATGATCGAAGATGAGCATCCAGATGGAACCGTTGTTACTAAAAAGAGTGAAAAGGTATCAATTGCAGATGTTTTTCTAAACCTGCCCATAAAGGATGAAGATGTTCCTTCAGAATCATATATTGATGATTCAGAAATTGTTGAAGATACAACAGAAGAATCTGATATTAAAAATGAGACAATTCAGCAAGGATCAACCACAATAAAAAGAACAATTACAACAAAAACTAAAAAGGAGACATTAGCAAGCACAGATAAAAATATAAGGAGAGTAAGAACAACTGTCGAAACCATCACGGTAGATGAATATCCTGATGGCTCAACTGAAACTACTAAAGATGTAAAAATTACGATATCGGAGTTCCAAAAAACTTCTGATAGTGATCTACAAGCTGCTTTGCAAGGATTACTGGCTACAGGTAAAATTAAAACATCTGTAGATAAAAAAACTAATATAATGGAATTTGATGGAGAAAAAATAACACAGACTATTACTACATATGTTACTAAAGAAGAACTGAAAAATAATGAAACAAATGAAATAGCTGTAAAAACAGTCACTGAAACCGTAACAGAAAATGCAAAATGTGATGGTTCAATTGAAACTACAAAAGATGTACGTACGCAAATAACTTATTTGCCTATTGGTACTGGATTAGATGACTGGACGCCAGAAGAATTAGAAAAAATAGAAAAACAACTCACAAAAGATGAAAATCTTACTCCTGAGACATTACCATTACAACAAAAAGGTGTTAAATCTGAAACAAAAGCTAAAAAGCAACGATCCCCTGTTGGTGAGATAACTACTGAAACTGAAACCTTTACAAAAGCTATCAAAGAAGGAGATAATACAATAATACAGACCATAACTGTAAATACTACTAAAGAAGTGATTAGCCCCGAAAAAATAAAAATAACAGTAGAGACTATTACGGTAAGTAAAGGCAATGATGGTGTTACAAAAACAACAAAATCAACAAAGACAACTATATCAGAATTTAAGGAAGAGTATGAAGAAAGTATAGATACAGGTGAAAGTGAAAAGTCGTGCTCAAAACATTCGGCCGCTAGTGATGATTTAGACCATCCCGGAATAATGTCTCCTCCGTCAGATATTAGTTCAAGAGGATCGAGGGCTACGCACGTCTGGGGTACCGAAAGTAGTGGCTTATATTATAGTGACGATGATGGTCAGGGAAGTCCAAGTAGTACAAAATCACAGATTGCACATTCTCCAAGATCAAATCTTAGCTTTGAATTAGATTCAAAATTACTACCTCAAAGAGAAATAAGCCAAGAGCTTCTATTTGATAAACAAGACTTTGATTTAGATGAAGCTAATAAGGATTTAAAATCTTCGGTATATGGACAAACGGTAGAAGATGATTCATGTACATCTTCAACTTATTCTGAGGTTAAGACTGAAATACATGAAGTTGATAAACCACTGTCAAAAATTTCAGACGACTTTTTATTACATGAAAAACTACATTCTGAAATTTCTAAACATAGTCAATCTTCTGATGCCACTTTCTTAAAAGAAGCAGATGAGCACTTTGAAAAGGCTATCGAAGAGCATAAGAAAGTAAGTGGTTTTGACGTAATATCAAATATAACTGCTAAATATGAACTTGATCAACAAAGCCATTCCAGCCATCATATGTCTACTACAGATGAAACAGCTATTACACTTAAAGATCTTAAAACGGATTCATTTAAGAAAATAACTGAGTCAAGTTCCACGAGTACCAGTAAGGAATCCAAAACAAAAAGAACAGAGAGGACCGAAATTAAGACTACATCAAAAGATCCTATTGAATCTTGGGGTAAACCGCTTGGATTACCTAGTCCAATTCTACCACCGACTCAGTCAGATGGAAAGAGTACTCCCAAGAAACAAATAACAAATTCAGCCGTACTAAATAAAAATAAAATCAATCAAGAGAAAAGTAAAGAAGTTAAAAATCGAGCGTCAGAGTCCCCTAGCAAAAAGAAAACTCCTACACCAGTATACATGGAGCTCACATATGTGCCACACCATGGCAATTCTTATTATTCAGCTTTGGAATTTTTTAAGCGTGTAAGAGCTCGCTACTATGTATTTTCTGGTACAGAGCCTTCTAAAGAAATCTATAACGCCCTTCTAGATGCCAAGAAAACCTGGGAAGACAAAGACTTAGGTGAGTTTGGTGTGCACAATATTGAATATTTTTCCACCCAATGTATATTAATAATGTAGACAGTATATTCATTATATATATTTATTACCCCATGTAAAGTTGCTATAAAAAACTTTATTAATATAAACAAGCAAACGAAATTTCTAATTACTATCATTTAGATTTATGATTATTCTCGCATTCAATAGGGTTTTTTGCAACGTTGACGTTAAAATGGAATAACATGTGGAATTAATACGTTTCATTGTTTTTTTCAGAAGTCACAATAATTCCCACCTACGACACGGACGTTCTCGGCTACTGGGTAACAGAAAATGAAGAGGCCCTTGAAAAATATAAGATAGATCTCTCGCCGTCAGCTTCTCGCTGTACGATCAACTTACAAGACCACGAGACATCATGTGCTGCCTACAGACTCGAATTCTAGGTGTCGGGTCTATTTGTAGCTTTCTCATCGAAGAAGTAAGCCACTCGTTAGCATTAGATGCTTCTGAATAGGGAATGGATGAGTCATTTATTGTTGTAGGAAAAAAAATAGGCTGTGATACAGAAGGAGACTTTCATAAGCATCTGTGTTACATAGTCAGTTGCTGCTACTTCGCATGAGATAGTTTGCAAATAGATACACTTAGCGTCATTGTGATATTTGAATGAAATTAACAGACTGTTGACGAGTTTGATAAAATCGTAGTTTATAATGAATCAAAAGATATACGAAACGAAGAAAGTGCTGGTGTAGTTGCGTCTACACCGTGTGATGGTATAATGTTATGTCCTGCGGCCTATAGCCGATCCCGAACTGACAAAGTCCTTGCCGCATCCAGTTCAGAAGTCAATAACCAAATTCTCGACCTAAGAACAGAAACGTCCATTTTTTTCTAAACATGTTTTCTAAAAGCTTTCATTATAATAGTACATGCCATTTAAAATATATTTCGGATGATATTTTGGTCTTATACAAACAGTAGTGCTTTTATATACGATTTTTAGCGTAACCAGTCCATTTTATTTAGCCAAAACATTGCTATATTCACACATCAAAATTTTTGAAAATTATTTTGCTATCTTATTGTAAAGTTTAGAAATTATTATATAAAACGTTAGCGGACATGACCACAACTTATTTTTAGCGTAGTGATGCTTTGTAAAAGGACGTGATACGATACAATGCGACTTATTTATCAATCAGATGTAGAAATCTGAATAACTTTTTTATGAACAGAATTTGAATAAATAAATTATATTTAACGAGTTGTCTTGAAAAGACGATTTAAAAGATATAGAGTCATTCTATAAAGCTAGTGCCGCTTGCGCTAGTTCTAATAATGTTAAAAGTGACGTAATATGTAACTATTGTTATCTACAACATTCTAGAACGACAAAGATGACTTCTCGTCTCACCCTTGCAGATGAGTGATGCATAAATATATAAATCCATTTAGACGTAAGATTGATAACGGTTCTACGTAAATTATTTTCTAAGACAAGGCTTATTTTCGTGCATTTCAAATGAGGTAGAGAAGTTCCAGTTCAATCGATAGCTGTACCTGGCTGCACTGCGAGAAATAACCGTATAAGTAAGAATTATTTTTAGGTAAGATTTTGGATATTGTCGTAACGCACCCGAAAATAATTAGAAAATCCTGCACTTCTAAATATTTTCGAATGTGTTTCGAATAAGTTCCTGAGATGTGATAGAAGGTTACAGTCCATCGAGGTACAACATTCGATTGTTCTGCAAAAGAACGAAGTGATCTCTGTTCTTCTAGATTAACAGTGAGCCTAAAACGATAGAGAGCTTATCCCATATAAAATAAATGTTTTAGTAAAACTATTATTACAAAATGAACACTATTTACCTTTGTTTAAGTTGAATTCGCTTGTTGCGTAAAGTTAACTATGACATAGTTATATTAAATACACGTTATACATTTTCCTCATTTGAAACGAACTGTGGTGAATCGTAAGTGACTATTGATTCTGATTTGTTTTTGGCATTATTGTATTTTTCCTTTGTTGTAATGTAATATTTTTAAATCTAGTCGAAACGACCCAAAAACGATGACAGTAGTCTTGCAAATATTCGTTCCTATTCGAATTGAGTTACATCTGTAGTATTTATTCAATTGCGTATACTTGAAACCTCATGTAATATAGGTATACATAGTTAAAAAACTCCATTAGATGTTTATTTGTTTTACAATTAATTATTTTCGAATGATATGTGAGAATGTGATAATGAAAAATCATTTTTATTTACCATTTAGAGAGTAAGCTGTTACACTTCCGGCTTTTCTGAACTAACCTTTATTTTACATTTACACGCCAAACTTTCAGAGCAGGATTTTGAGTCAATTAATTTTAAGTCATACCTAGTGTTAAGCCGGTCTAAGGACATTCGTCTTTATATAGCTTACTTTGCCTACATTATATTAAAAATAGTGAAATATTCTTATATCTGATTGCACCTGCACAACATATTAACGAAAATAAATTTAAAAAGTGGTTTAAAATATATACGTCTAATGTAATTAATTCTGTATATTTATTTTTATGCAATAGACACACTATACGAATGAGATTTTGTTTTATAGTTATCATGATTATTATTGATATCGTATATATTTAAATGTTTGTCGTTTGATGTGAGCACAATATGTTTTCTTTGAATTGAATGATGCTTAGGATGTTGTAGATGGGACTAAACAGGGAGTGGATCTTGTAACCTAAAATGGGGTTGAAACCGATATGCTGTTACTACTATTCTCTGCTTTCCATCTCATCTGCAGTTGCATTCAATTTCTACTGATTTTATTGTCCCATATAATTTCAAGTGTTATATAATTTTCTATTTATTATAAATTTTTAATAATTTAAACGTATTATCAGATTCATTATAGTAGACGTGTAACAGTGTGTCGGAGACAACCTGTAGGCGCTTAATCGAGTGTAATGATAATTTTTTAATTAGGCTTTCAATTAATTTAGCCGGCATCCACGATTTAGCTGGTTCGGAAGCCTGGCCCAAAGTTTACTATTGTATTTTATAGCTAGAACTCTAATTGAAGCATATTATTAGGAATATTAAAATGTTATTAAATTAAGAATTGTATCAGCTTAGTGAACATCAATAGCTCTGACAATAGACTATGAAATAAATCATTATGGAAATTATTAAATGTTGTATCGATCCTGCGGGTGTGGTTTCAAACGAACGCGATATTTACGAATCAATGAACATACATGGTATTGATTGAAGCCTTTGTTCGCGACGATCGTTAGATGATGTCCAAGAATGGATAATTAAGATTATATTTTATTAATGAGATTTATTATTTTAAATACGTGTATAATAAAAATAATACACGAGTAACATTTGTTATTTGATTGTTTATAGAAATTATTTGTTCTAATTTTAATTTAATCGCAAATACAGAAATATAATATGAATAATTTCATTTCAATACTGTGAATAAAGAAAGGAGATTACAAATTTCAAATTATTCAATTTATTTACTTCAGAAACGTAACAGATTTTATATTTGTATTGGTTGTTAATTCCCGATTGTATTATGTTGGGAGGGGTTAAGAACTGGAGGGTGACGAATTGATATCTTGAGATAAAGAGGATTTAGATAGGTAATGTAAGCTTTTGTGGTGCTAACAACATGCTAATGAAATTGTTAATGAGAATATGAAATATCTACGAGTGAATCGTGACTTAATTTGTCAATTGATACTATCGATATATCATTAAATGAATTGATGAATTATGTAATGATTAACTTGTGAAAGACACGCGTTATGGTTTGGATAGTGAAATGGCTTTTGATGGAAAATTTATAATCAATGATGTTTAAGTGGAAATGTTTAATTTTTTTGCTTTGATGTACGGGTACACGTGTTTGCGGCAAATAACTTTCGGCTTAACGACTTAATGATACATTTAAATTGGTGAAAATCTACAAACGTGCCGTGAAAACTGTATCCAAGCAAATCTATGTGAGAATATTTAATAATTTAAATAATGATTGATCCTTCAATGGATGTTAGGTATTTATAATTATTATAGTATTATGTAAATTAAAACGTAAAAAAAAATATCCATTTAATGTATTTGGTCACGTCGCTATTCTCCATTCAGCGTGTTTGATGGAAGTGTATGGGTCATTAAAGTAATAAAAAAATAAAATGTTATGGTATTTTTATTTTAAATACTAGTATTAGATAACCCATGTTAATTTACACAGCGCCATCTAGTCGCGATCTAAGCAGATCTTATTATGAGCACTAGGCTATCGATAGATCACCGCCAAAGGAGTCGTTTTGTATTGCCATTCCAACACGCGGCTCCGGTACATGGCGCTGCATGAGGGACATTTTGGAGTTTTTAGTGAGTAGGAGTCTCACAGTACCCGCTTGCCTCCCCCGGGGTGGGAGGGAGACGATGATGATGAACTCGATGACGGAGTTTCTCCAATAAAAAAAGCAATAGATAGATATACTTAAATATATTTTTTTGTAAATAGAAGTATAGACAGTATAGAATGTCAAAAAATACAAAACAATATAGTAATTTTTTAACAAAAAAATTGACAAATAGTAAATTTTTTTAACAGTACTAAAGTAAGAAAACTACCTCTTGTAGACTATGTTACGACAATGACTCTCGCTCGGTAGCTAGTCATTAATACATACATTTTAATATAAGCTTTATTCCATCTACTTAGAAAACATTCTACAATTATCTTATGTTTAATACAATAAATACATACATAATATACATAGAAAAGACAGACTCGTCTTTCGAATTAATATTTTGAAATCCGTGTTCACCGGAGAGTCAATCAAAAAATTTTTTTTTTATATTAAAATTTGAGTGCGTTTGATTGCAATCTCTCCTGATGTTAAGTGATGATGTAGTCTAAGCTGTTACACGCAAGCTCAAATAATGCCTATTCACTCTTGACTTGAAAGACCCAATGTTGTAAGAGGCAGGAAAAATAGACGCTGGTAGATAGTATAAATATCACACAGTATGTGTCGGTCTGATTTGAACTCAGGACCTCTTGGGTATAAATCAAGATAGTCAACCACTAGATCACGACGCTCTCTGTCATCCATATTAAATAAAAACTGACGTACATGAGTTCGTCTACGATATCTTGTTCCAGATCGCTATAAGTGATATATTGTAGCAATATTAACTTGAATAATTATGAATTCTCCATACGAACTTTCATCTCATATTTTAACTACGCACAACCACATTGTGGAATCACCTTCTAGCATGTATTTCGGAACCGATACGATATTGAAACCTTTAGGAAAATATCTTATACCAAATTTGACAGGTTTATGTGAAATAGAAATAGAAATAGAAATAATCTTTATTCAAATAAACTCATTACAAGCACTTTTGAATAGTCATATTTTGATTCTACCACTCATTCGGAATGCAGATTCATCACAAGAAGAATGAGCAAGAAACTTGTACGTTGCTCTTTTCAATAGATGTTTTTTTTTATATAAATAATTACAGTGTAACAAGTAAGAGGCATACGACAATCAACATAGAAATCGCTACGCACTCATTATTAGTGTAATCAGATAATATTGTCAGTGCCATGTATTTAAAATTTTTTCTACAAAAACATTATTATCGTTAACGAATTCTTCGATTTTATAGTAAGCTTTTTTGCAAAGGAAGTGTTTTATTTGACATTTAAATCTTTTTTCTGGCAGATTTATAACAGACTCTGGTATTTTATTGTAAAACCTTACGCAATTGCCATAAAACGAATTACTAACTTTAGCCAAACGACATTTAGGTAAAATCAGTTTGTTATTATTACGTAAGCTTTTATTAGTGCAATCACTAAGTCTTTTGAAACTGTCTATATTCTTCCTGGCATACATGATATTTTCATAAATATATTGAGAAGCAACGGTGAAATTTGATTCCTTAAAGCACTCTCGCAAAGACTCCCTTGCTATAAATGGAGCGAAAGAGTTTTTGAGTTTGAGAGGGGGTCAAAACTGGGTCCAAATGGTTCGTGTAACTACACACGGTGCTGCTCGCCAGTTCTCTTACTTGAACTTGGGTTTGACACGCTTCCGCGTGTCTAGATTCCTTCTTAAAAGGCGGTAACGCATTCCCATGGTTTTACGGGTGCTTATGGGTGGCTTTAGTCACTTGCCATTAGGTGAGTCGCAAGCTCGTTTGTCCCATATCCTAAAAAATCCTTCCTAATTTAACTTTTGCTACATATAATAGCCGATTTACTATGCAAATGTCCAATCTGTTTTAAACCAAAAGACATCAAAATTGGTTGTGGTTTAGGCGTGAAAAGGTTACATATACACAGACAACTATTATTGCATTTATAAGATTATATTAGTGAAACTATAAGAACTAATAAATAATAATTATATCTAATTATCTAAGGTTCATTTGAGGGCAAACGTTCTAGGGGTTGATCACCAACTCGATGCACTGACTTTACCAAAATGGTTACAAAGCAGTCCATTGTTCTCGTACAGCCAAAAATTGTACCAGATGGAGACAAATTCCGAGGAGCTCTATCACCAGGGACGACAACCAAGATTTTCAATGATACCATCATGAAAACCATGACCATTTTGTATAGAGTATAGGAATGTGCTTAAGGTTTCTACGGTAGGTTTAGGTACGGTTACCGTTTACCATCAGATGGACCTTATGCTTGTTTGCCACCATCGTAGTATAAAAAAAAAACGTAATGACCGTCCATTCATGTTCTTAATAGGCAACGGTTACCATTTACCATCAGGTGGGTGTTCACTTATTTGCCATTCAAACTATATATAAAAAAAAACAATACAAATAAATTATGTATTTTATTTTTTTAATCATTATTTATTGTGGTCCCAATATTAATTAATTAATGTCAAATAGCAAATATAGCGTACATATGTACTTATTAATGTATAACAGTGTTTCCCAACCTTTTAGTACCGTGCGCCACCTTAGTCTTTCTAAAATTCTTATACCTTTTATATACACATACACATATAACTTATGTACATATTTTATAACATATAAAAAAATTAATCTTCCAAACCTTGTCTAAAGGGACTCCTTTTAATAAAATATTTTAGTTATTATATTATATTTGTAAGGCTTTTGGTTGTAGATTCATTGTCCTAGTATACAATATTGGACATCAAATATACTTTTTTTAAAAAAAAAAATGTATTTCTAATTGTTTGTCAGATACTTGGTTTCGTGTGTAATGTTTTTTTTTAACAAATGTTATATATTTTTATGCATAGTTAATTATTACTTACTTAAACTTAAATAATAGATTTTAGGAACAAAGCACTAGGAAATTGTTAATGCAACAGTAAGTAAATTTTCAAAACATATAATGAAACAATGAAATTCACATTTCATATAATTTTAATAGAGTCCATTTTCGAACTGTCCCTGTTAACAATCAAATTGCCCACCTGTGGGACGTGGTACCTACGTTGGGAAACACTGATGTAATGAGTAACTTCCATCCATCCATCCATCCATCCATACAAACGTGTTCATAATATTAATAAAATAATGATCTACTTATAAATATATAATTACAAACTAACTTTGGAATGACTGCAGCATTTGTTATATAAACACATTACAAATTACTTTACGCTAACTTAATTTGATATTTATACATTTTTAATCAATACTTGATAAAATAATATAAATTCTTTAAACTATTCATAACATAGTTTCTAATTTATAAATAACATACACACAAAGCAAATGCCGATTTAAAGATTATTAGAAGAAAGATGTCAGGTTACCTCCACTGTTGACAATTTTTTTATGTTAGCAATCTTATCCTCCACTAAACGTCAGGCAGGCGGGTGTTAATTTTTTTTTTACAATTTATCAGTATATACAATAAAAACGTAAAATAATATATACCTATATATATAACTCAAAGGTGACTGACATAGTGATCTATCAACGGACATCCCAAACCACTGGACGGATCGGGCTGTAATTTGACATGCAAGTAGATGTTATGACGTAGGCATCCGCTAAGGAAGGATTTGATTAATTCTACCCCCAAAGGGATAAAATAGAAAATAAAACTTTGTCAATTTTAAACCGATCGGGCTGAGACTTTGCATGCATAAAGCTACTATAACGTAGGCATCCCCTAAAGGAGGATTTTAATAAATTCAACCCCTAAGGGTATATATTAACGCGAGCGAAGCCGCGGGCAAAAGCTAGTATTATATAAAAGTAAAGTAAAGGTGAAAATTTAAAAAATCATAAAATATTTATTAGGTACTATAAAGAGAAAGGAATTTTTCTTTATGATGAATAAAATAAAAAAAAATTAATAATTTAAAAAAAATCTTTCATTTACAGAAGCTACATTATTACTATGCTACATATTATATGTTGATCATATTTAATTCATTCATAATTTAAGTCACGTTTGTCTAACATTTTCATGCCTTTAACTGTTGATACTATTTTCTTTAATTTGCTTGATTATTCAATATTTTTATTTACCTTTTTTCTTTCATCCTATGCAATACTTCTTCATTTCTTATTTATTTTTTGGTTCTTACTTTCAATAACATACCTATTTTCTGAAAATTTCATTCTAAATGCTCCAGTAATTTTTACGTGATAGCTAACAATTGAAATAAACAGTTATCATTTCATCACGATTTTATTTTTATAAAGCTAATACATATGTACATAAAAATTATAATATTTTCGATTATCTATACCTAAAAGTTATATAAATACATACATATTTTTTATTCATAAAAATATTATCACAAATTTTTCTAAACTCTACAATTACAATAAATATAACTATGTCATCCAATTTTCAAAAATTTTAACACCACATAATAAATAGAATGTATGTCTTTGACTTAGAATCTTATGTTAAATTAAATATATAAACTAAATTATGAGAAACTATTTTTTGGATTACACAATTTAATTTTAAATTAACTTGTATCGGTACATCCCTACTTAAACTCATTATTAACTTATACAAAAAGGTCTTCACTCCATCTGGATTGAAGTCGAACTTTCTTTTTTATTACATATGTCATTACGGTTCAATATTAAATAATCTAATATATTTATTTATGTCACTGAATTTCACGTAACTATTACTAAAATATGTTAGCGCTATATAATACTGGCAATGCGAAATTTTTTACTATACAAAAATATACCTAATTTACAACTAGTTAAAGATTATTTTTAGGGTATTATCTAGTAATTGGTATGAATATGTTACCTACATTATCGATATGTCATAGTCAAATGAAATCAAATCAAAAATCATGTAGGACATTTAACTAACTCTAACTTAGTTTAGTTTTTTTGTATTATACTTTTCCACAGGATTCCCTAGTTAAATCATAGAATAAATTTATAAAATATCTATATAATTTATATTTATTTCAAGAAAAAATAGATAAATAAATAGATATTAAATATTATTTATATGCCTTAAGATGACTGATTCTCTAGTGAGGCGAAAAAGAGAAACAAACTCAATATTCCATTATTTTTTATACATTAATTGGGAATGAGTCTTGGGATTAGTATTTTGTTACTATGAAATTTATTGTTACATATAATTTACAAACGTTACATCTAGCTATTAAACATTTTATTCCTTCTTTTTCATTACCTGATAATAAGAATGACATTAAGTTATATTGTCATGTTTAATTTGAAAATATTTTAAAAACGTAAAATATTTCATTTTTATTTTTTTACATTTTTAAACTTATTTGAAATTAAAAATGATAATTTAAATTAATGCAATTGTGGTTTCTATTTAAGAATAATGTAAAAATATCATACATGGTAATTTTTATTACTATTTAAAAAATGACAATTCGTTAAGCTATTACGCATATTATATATATAATTTAATTTAATTCCATTATTGTTTCTGATTCGTTAAGCTATTACGTATATCATATTTAATTTAATTTAATTCCATTACTGTTTCTGATATATATTTTTTTTTTTTTAAGAATTACCAATATAAGATGCAGCCATAAAAATCTGTCGTGATTCTATACAATTCTAATGGTCTTAAACTAACTGTACTCATAATTATAGGTAACCACAGCATTGAGTTACAAGATTATATCGCTACTATTATTTTTACTATTACACATGTCAATAATATTAATTAAAGTTGAATGATACTAATAATAATACAATAAAACATACATATAACAACGATATGATGTGACAAGGAACGTCAAATTTGGTGCTTAGTTATGAACTCGGAGTGATTTTCAATGAGAATATGTATATCTAATTATTATAATTTACAATTTGAATTGCGACTAATGGTATTTCTAATAAGAAATTTTGTCTGTGGTCCATTACAAAGGGTGTAGGGAACCACAGACAATTTATCTATTAACATTTTCTTACGTCTAATCCGTACTAATGCTAACAACGGCACGAAGTAAAGTGTCTTCAAAATTGATAAAAACAATACAGAGATCTAAATTAAGATTATATTGTTAAAAAATGCAGTATATTTACAAAACATTGCAATGGACTAACATGGGCTGTAAGTTATTTAATTAAATGAGATCTCTATGATAATTGCAATAGTGTTGAAATTTGTAATTTGCAAAAAGCCTCATTTCTGTTTCTACCTTTCTACCCGTGTGAAGGCTCCTAGAAAACATACTGTTGTCTCTCAGTATTCATTCTATTTATGGTCAAGATTAATCTCAAGATTCTAGTATTAAATCAGTTGGAGATATTACACACTTACACAGTCCACTATTTTACTCCCTGACACCAACAATCTCTCTTTAGAGATATTGCATCTCTCCTCACTCCAGCGCGATAGCAATACTTTCAATTATGTAATATTATATTATCTGTGCTTTCAATCGAAAGTTTACGTTACGCTCTACTCGACTTACTATATTATTACAATATATATTTATATATATATTTCAAAGTATTTTTTTCGTTATTCGGAAAATTTGTTATATTTACAATGCCTTGCAGATTTTTTCAAATTTATATACTACTAGCTGTGACCGCGACTTCGTCCGCGTGTTCTAGTGATTTTCTATATAAACTTCAATCCCCTTTAGGTTCAATTTTTTACCCCTTAAGGGTAACATTTTCACAAACTTTGAATGTCATATTTATTACTATTTAATCAACAGCCTCAAAAATAAGATACAATCTTCTAGCTTCAAAATGACTATTCTTCCATACAATCTGTCATCCCCTCTTTTAACCCCTTGCAACCCTTTTTTCGCATTAAAAAGTAGCCTATATCCTTTCTCAGGGTCTAGACTATCTGTGTACCCAATTTCATTTAAATCGGTTCGGTAGTTTTGATGTGAAAACGAGACAGACAGACAGAGTTACTTTCGCATTATTTTATAATATTAGTAAGGAAGTAACGATTATCGATTGTTCATATGAATGAGCTAAATATAGGTACTTCTGTTGTTCTGAAATTCATTATTTTTACAATTTCTGTCAGAAGTTTTCATTTTATACTGTCTTAGATTCATGAATCTTTGTTGATGATTCTTAGTTCATGTGAATGAACTAATGATTTTTTTTTTGGTGACAATTGAGATTTTCTGTTACGTGTAATTATTAAACAAACTTGTTTAAAGTAAATCTTATTAGTGCGGAACGTTGATATCAATTGCCTAATGCTATCGACAATATTTTATCGAGAATACTTCTTTTTTGGCAATCTTTTTATTTTTTTAGACAATAGTCCAATCAGTTGGTTCTATTTTTATTCAATGGTTGTATGCCTAAGTGATGAATCAGCTCTCAGACGCAGTCTGCGAATCTTTCCAGTAGTCCCTGGATATCATATCTTTTAAGTCGAGAGAATCTTAGACTTCCCAATACCGGCAGTAATACGGGTAGTTCATTTCTGTCCCCATTCTGAGCCTAATTAGTTATTGTAGAAAATTTTCATTACAGCACATTTTTTTATGGGTTGAGTATATGGATTATTAATAATGTCACTTAAACCTCATATCGTCCGGTTTCCTTATGAAGTACGCGACCCGTTCTAGGGGAACTTTGTACTCGTGCATCCATCGGTTGCCTTTCCGCAGGGATCCGTCGATACCGTCCTGCCACAGCCCGGCCGGGAGATATACTGCACATTAAAATATTCAAGAAAATATATTAAAAACATACGTTAATACTAACGGGCGTGCAATGCGTAGGAATGAAGATCATACCATAAGGAAGGTGTTACATATGTATGTGGATGGTTATAAGGGCAGAGGAAGACCGAAAAAGAGATGGATGGACTGTGTGAAAGATGATATGGTGAGAAAGGGAGTAAATAACGGGATGACTACGAACAGGGATGAATGGAAGAGAAAACATATTACGACGACCACAAATAAATGGGATAAGGAAGAAACAGATGTTGATTAATAACATAAGTTGATAATATATAATAATAATAATAATGACAATTCACCATCGCCATCTTGTCCTAAGCTGTGTTATGGATACTAAACAACTGATATACTTGAATACATATTTTTTTATAAATACATATATAATGTAGTTTTCTAATCTATATTATATATGTATTTATAAAAAATACTAGTATCCATAACAGAAGCTCTATTTAGCTTGGGACTAGATGACACTGTGTGAATTGTTCAGGAATATTTACATTTATCAATAGTTCAAAATGAAAGCATTTTGCCTTCTCTGGTAGTCTCTCCTGGATTAATAATGGGTATATTTTATTATTATTACATTTATTAAAGGTTCAAAATGTCTCTCCTGATGTCTTCCAGATTAATAAAGAAACTGGATTAATAAAGTATATTTTATTATGATTACATTTATTAAAGATTTAAAATGAAAGCAACTTGCCCACTCTAGTAGTCTCTCCTGGATTAATAATGGGTATATTTTATTACTATTACACTTATTAAAGATTTAAAATGAAAGCGACTTGCCTTCTCTGGTGGTCTCCCCTGGATTGAGTACGGGCGCGACGACGATCTCGTCCCCGATGGCGAACTCGTCGCGCACCAGCAGCGCGGCGTCCCCGCCCGCCACCAGCCACAGCGGGCGGATCAGCGGCAGGCCCTCCTCCAGGGCCTCGCGCTTGTACTTCAGCAGCAGTGGCGTGATCTGCACGTTTTTTCATACTACGTTATTGACAAACGCGTATACGGGCCCATCTGATGGTAAACGGTTATCGTATCGACTCCAAAGCGATCTAAAGTGTAACGCTGTGTATAGATCATCGAGGAAAACCATGCGCGTTGCTGACCCTAAAGGTATTTAACTATATGACTTTGTGGCCTGATCGGCAGCAACCCACGCTCTAAAGACTCCAGCTTATATTTCAACAAGAAGGGCGTGATGAAGTTATACTGTCACTAATATATAACTAACTATATCCCGCGATTTACTACTCATTGCAGTTATTTTTTTATACTACGATAGTAGTAAACTCCCATATGACTTTCTGATGGTAAATGGTTACAGTAGCCTATAGGATACATGAAACATCAGGGGTGGCATGTCCGCGTAGCCGACTCTAAAGCGATCTAAGTATATATAACACTGCCAGCCGACTTGTAGGGCCTCCCGCTTGTATTTCAGCAGGGAGGACGTGATCTGAGGTTATACCACCACATACCTAACTGACTACATCCCGCGATTTAATACTCATTGCTCTCCTCCAGGGCCTCGCGCTTGTACTTCAGCAGCAGGGGCGTGATCTGCACGTTTTTTTATACTACGTTATTGAGAAACGCACATACAGCCTTTCTGAGGGTAAATGGTTACCCTATAGATGCCTGAAATCTAACTATAATCCAACTATATTCCGCAGTATACACTTTGCGGTCTGATCAGCGGCAGGCCCATTCTAGAGCCTCTTCCTTGTATTTCAATAAGAGGGGCGAGATCTGCAATTATTTTTATACTACGATGGTGGTTGTTGCGGGTTAATGATATGATTTTATCCTGTCCTGTGTTCCATAGTAGTATCAGAAGACTGTATGTCTTTTGATAAACGATTACCGTAGGCTATGGACGTATGAAACACTAGGGGTGTCACGTGCGCGTTACTGACTCTTGCAGTAGAGGCGTTATCTGAAGTTATATTTATATTGTGTATTCATTCATTCATACTAACTCACGAATATATGCACAGAAATGCACACACATACACACATCACGTGATAACCATGACCATCGGAAGTAAAAGTGCTAAACCGCTAAACCGTCACATATACACAAAATGCACTAAAATAATTAAGTACATAATGTAGGTCAGTATCACACAGTGTTATGAAATATTATACTTATCTATATTAGAGTTTTAATTAGTGCTAATGACATAAGATAATTTATGTAACAAAAGACTGCATTCAAACTAACCGAACAATATATAATACTGTATATGAGTATAAAGGAATGTTACGTATAATATTGTAATATTGAAACATTTGTTAGTATTTTATTTACATAATTTTACGGTAGGTAAAAAATATTAATACTTGAAACTTGATTTAATAAGAGGCTAAAATGTCCTACATGAATAATGATTTCTGATTTGATTTGATTTACACCACTCAATTAATTACTACTTTTAATATAACTACTCAATTTGGCTTCAAAAGTATCTGTAAGATATTTATAATATTTCAGGACAATTCAAACAGAATAGGACTCGTGACAAGATATGCAAAGCTTGTGTTGTAGGTACTAGACAACTGATATAAATACAAATACAGTTTTTTAAAAAACATACAAAATATACTTAGAAAACAACAAAACCGATATAAAGAATGAATTTCATGTATACAAATATTTGTACAGTGCTAGAAATCGAACTAAGGACGAAGAGAATCGATCATTAGGAAATAAGGCTATGTGTTAAACCGCTGGACCACCGAAGCCATCATATGCCATACAATGAATTACTTGTAATATAACTACTTGATTTTACTTCATAAGACTTTTATAGAATGGCAAACAGGCCAATGGTGGTAAGTGGTAACAATCACCAATCAATCATTGCCATTCAGGAAGACTAAGATGTCATGGCTCAAATTCTATAATTTTACTGCCTAATCTACATCTAATAACCGAAAAACATCTGCTTGACACCAAGGTTGAATTCTGTAAGACAGTAGTACCTACGCAGATAATTTCGTATAAAGTATAATGGTAAATTATTCTGGACTTGATGAGCTAAAACTGTTCTGTTAAAATATGCCTTCAATAAAATTACAAAGTTACTTACCAGTTTTTGCCTCAAAGACGTCAAATTCTTCGCCATCTCTAACACTTTCTCGTCGTTGTATTTACTTGGTAGATGCGTGAATTTCATCACTGGCAAGAATGTGGCCATCTGCAGCCATCTTATATACAACTCCCGTTCTGGCAACTCTATTCCATTCTCTTGAGTTGTATTTGTTGCATTTACCTCCATAAATCCTTTGGATGATGGCAAGAACTGCTCGCTGCCTGGCCAGTATATATCTCCTCCAACTGCACCGGGCATTACAAATGGATACCCATCTACTCCATATGTCAACATCGCTGGTATAACCATTGCCAAAGCTTCCCAAGACGACTCAAATGGAGGCAATGATACAAAAATCGGCGGTCGCGGTAAAGAAATTGCTGACGAAACACCAATAATGTTTAGGGTTTTCTCAAAAGTCTTCGTAAATAACGTTTTGTATTGGTCCGGATTGATCAATCTCTTCTCACATTGGTAGTAGTGAGGCATATCGTAAGCGACACCTAGATCAAAATAAAAAGAGTCTATGTGATATTCTTCAATAACAGCTTCTAATTTTTCTAATATCCACGGCACTGATCTATTATTAGTTATGTCTAATACTCCAGCGCTAGCTAAAGATTTAAATCTCGTCAATGCTGGTATTCTTCTATCGCTATTCCTCTCACTAACAAGCAGTCTCCTCTGTACACATTCAGCGAAATTTGTACTTTCTGTACTTATAAAGGGTTGAATCGTAAACGCTACTTTAAAACCTCTTCTATGCAGTTTATCAATAGTTACATTTAATGTTTCAAATCTATTTGCATCCACTGACAGATCACCAATTTCGTTCTGCCAAAATTCATTAATGAGAACATGGCCCTGTTTTAAAAAGCCTAAATTTATAACGTCTTCCGTATACTGCGATATTGTCTCAGTTTGTAGTTCATGCTTGAAACGTGGGGCAATTTGCCACACAGGTTCTGATATTAGAGATTCTAGGGTCTGCATGTCAGCTGGTTTCAAACCGTCCCATAATGGAGCTCTACTATGACTATGGATGGATGAATGGAGAGATTTCATATCGTGTGACGTACATATATTGTACTTCATCTCAGGAAATTCTGTGAGCTGATTAACGTAAGCGAAATCGTCATACCTAGCTTTAAGACAGATTTCGTTCCTTTCTTTGTTAATAGCTATTTGAAGAGGAGTTTCTTCATCGATAATGATAGCAGCTCCTTTGGAGTTGATTAGGTATCTGGATAAGACATTGCCCCATTGTGACTTTTGTATGTCGCCAGTAATGAACGGTGTGTAATCAATAGATCCTGTGTTTAATGGCCAAGTTATGTTAAGTGATTGCCCTGCACCGTACCAATGTACTTTTGTATCGGACCAGTCGAAACAATCATTAGGATATACATCTGAAAAATATTTTATAATATTAAATGAAGCTTATACATATATCAATGCTATTTAATAATAAATATAATATTATTTATTAACTTATAACATTAACTTATGTTATAAATGCGAAAGTGTGTCTGATTATTTGACCGTTTATGACGTTTACAGGTCTAAATAGGTAAAGGTGTTAATAAAATTTGATGAGATGATAAAAGAAGAAGTTACAGCTTATTATTAACTCTCCAACATTATAAATAATATATAATGTTTAGCTAAACTTTGGTATTATCACCTAAATTTGAAAAATGATTTTAATAGCCTAATCCTTCAGACAATTAAACATATCGATATTACTCTTAGGTCAAAAGCAAAAAGAAAAAGTAACATTGAACTACGCAAAATCAGCAGGAGCGGATGATGCAATATGAAAAATAGTTCCTGAACACCCAAATACCTTAAAAAAGGTAAAATTAAACTAATTCGAACAGACGGTATATTTGCCATTTCATAAAAAACTATAATAGACCTACCTGAATAAAGATTCTTTCATTTGATTTGATAGATACATGTTTTAGTAAATACATACATAATCAACATTGAAAACACCCAGACCGACATAAACGATCATACTTATGAATACAAATGATAGTACTATTCGAGAAATCAAAATGGTGGTAGTTACCGTTTCTCAGTGCTTTCCAATGGACAGAATAGCAGGTGGTGTTGTCGAGGCCGGGGTCGTGCGGCAGACACTTGAGGTAGAACCGCAGCGTGTGCACCCACTCCAAACACTTGGAGCCATCGTCGAGTCGATCTTCAGCCAAACATGGGTACGATTTCACTTTACCTTCTATACCCACAGCTGCAAATATAATCAACTATATACATATTAAAATTGGAATGTATACATGCAATATAATAACTGTTCTTAACTTGAATTCATACAGCGGTATCTAGTTCCAAGATAAGCAGATCTTGTGCTATGGGTACTAGACGACTAGTTGTGCTAATGCTACCGCGACACCGGCAATGATGCTCGTAGTTACACCGTGTGATTTTTTAATGGGTCCTACATGGTTTAATCTCACACTCCCTTTCGTCACCCCTCCAACGAGGGGACGAAAGGGGGATTTTTTCACACGATAAAACGAAATGTTTTAGACTACTGACACCAATATCTTTGCATTCCATAAATTCGCCGCTTGGGTGTCGGGTAAATCGTGAGGCAGAGAGAGAAATTCCGAGCTTCTTCCGGGACTTGTGACCTTGACTAATAAAGTGGTAAGAGTCCCCTTTGCCGACATACGTTAACAGTCAGCTCTATACTGCTCGTGTTTCTTTCCCTGCCCAAACAAACCTGGTCTGCTAATGCAGCTTTAGATAAACTTTCTAGTATAGAACTTACTGCAGTTCTAGACAGACCGACATCTTTTAAGATCTTAGAAAATTGGTTAATTAATAGACGAGAACTTCTAGGACATCTTGAACTCACAACATAAATATGGCTCATGATGTCGCCTATATAAATGAACAGCATCACGGAGGTTCTGTTCATTTATATAGACGATGGTTCCCTCTCACCATCAAAAGTACCACCAGTTTGTTTGGCATACCAGATGTTGCTGGCAACTAGCCCAACTATATTTTTTTTTATTATTTTGATATAGATGTGATGTAAATCAAAAACGATTTTTAGTGGAACTGTGAAATCTTTTGACGGATTGATTCAAAATTTTAGCAAATTACCCAAAGTTGCCTTCAATATTTCGTTGTCCTCTCTGTTGAAGATTCTGATGATCCTTTTAGGTTCGTTGAACTGTACGTTGTCGTAGTAAGCCTTCGTTAATGCCTGCCGGTGATATAAGACGTAAGCGAAGCCAACGAAGAAAGCCACTGCGAGGAACATGAGGGCTACAAATGCCCGCAGTTTGTAGTCTGTCGGCTTTTTGCGGATTTTCTGCGGTATGCTCTGAAATGGGAACGAAATTTGAATAATTCATCATCATCATCATCATCGCAGCCCGGAAGACGTCCACTGCTGGACATATGTCCACGACGAACGATCCAATTTCCAATTTGAATAATTACCATATCAATAACTAAAATTCATACATCGTATATCGTCACGCCTATTTCCTATTGCCGTAAGTAGAGACTAAGGAATTCTAAATGCTTCGAATACTTTTTATTTGGTCCATTTGCCCTTTTTTGGCGATGTACGTCTGGGATGTCACCTACCAGCATATTGCTCTATATAGGATATTTCTTCGCTGATCCTCTATATATAGGAATATACCCATATCATGTATATCCGTATATAGATATATATATATATATATATATATAATATAAATGTGTCTATCAATGGGTATTATATATCTCGACTTAGTTCGAGGCTAGATGGTGGTTTTATTATTTCCACGGTTATTGTATTCTTCTTAACAAGGATATAGGTACATACAAATACTCTTAAATGAAAGGTAAAATAAATAAATAGAGGTAACTACATACCCTGCTAAATATATATTCTTAAATAGACGTTATAAATTCGAAAAATGCCATAAAAAAAATGTTATTTGTCATTTATTGTTAAGATAAAAAAAACAATACAAACTTGTAATTTCTCTTTGAGAAGACTGGCGAGCGAGTTGACTGAAGTGACAGAATTACTCGGCGAATAATCTTCTTCGTCCATACTGAACTCGGAGCGACCGAACCTTCGGGGCTTACGGCGCGGAGAGCGGAGGGGAGTCCTGAAAATTATTATAATGAATAAATAAATAAATAACCCTCGACAATTAACACAACGCCATCTAGTCCCACTGTAGGCAGGCTTGTGTTATGGGTACTAGACAACTGATATAAATACTTAAATATTGTTTCGTAAACATATATTATATTTTTGTATTTGTAACGTTTAAGTTTTTTTGTTTTGTATTTTATTGTACAAGATCGGTTCAAATTAAGCATATAAGTGTTTATTGTAATTGTGAGAGTCGTGTGTTTAAACATTTCCGAATAAAAAAATACATACATACATAGTAAACACCCAAACCGATACAAACAATCATACTCAGGAACACAAATATTTATACCTTGCGAGGAGTCGAACCCGCACCATCGGAATTAAAATGGTGTCCGAAAACTCTAGACCACCTACGCCGGCATATGAACATTATAATAAGCTTTCCTTCTGTAACTATAGTAGTAAAGAATCTGATTGATCAACCAAGCGTGATAACAATACCTTCAATCAAAATTTTGCCGTAAATATACGTTCCGCTCTACTCGGCTTACTATATTTAGTACTGTAAATATACAGGTATTTTTATCATCAATTTCGACATTGATTATAATTCCTAAGTCTTGCATAATTTTAAGTCGCATTGTTGCACTGTCTTGCTTTGTTCATACGAGTGAGCTAGATAGGTCCTTTTTTGTGAAAATGAAGTTATTCAGCTAAAATAAACTTATTCAAATCAAATCAAATCAAAATATCTTTATTCATGTAGGTCTATTACAGACTCTTATGATATGTCAAATCTCTCACTACCGTCAGTTCGGAGTGCTTTCGAGATGAGAAGAACTGGCAAGAAACTCAACTCGTATACTTTTCAAATAATGTTGTATATGTTTACAATAATAGAAAATAATAATTTATAATAATTAAAATTAAATTTTGAGAAAATAGAGTGACCACCAACATATGCCACAATTTTCGCAAAAGCATATAGTCTAATCAGTTATTATTATTATCTGTAGAGGTTACAGTTAAAATATCTTATTATTAATATTCTAAATGGGAAAGTTTGTAGGTATGTTTGTTACTCTTTCATGGAAAACTTACTTTTAGAATAGAATAGAAAATCATTTATAGAAATAAACTTAATTTAAGCACTTTTGAATAGTCATAGTTATCATTATTTTAATCTACCACTAATTCGGAAAGCTGTCTCATCACAAGAAGGAAGAGCAAGAAACTTGTTTTGCAACACACAAGTTTCTTGCTCATTCTTCTTGTGATGAATCTGCAATTTAATAGCTAGAATCAAATATGACTATTCAAAAGTGCTTGTAATGAGTTTATTTGAATAAAGATTATTTCTATTTCTATTTCTATTTCTATTTCTATTTCTTGCGTGTTGCTCTTTTAAATAACCATTGTAATTTTACATTTCCAATTCGAAACGTGCAAATACAAACCGCCAACTAGCACTAATTTATTAACTTCAGATATTAAGTACACAATAGGATTAAATCAGTCGTAGTGATTAGAGCAGACCAGTTCCTACAAGCAGCACTTGTTCACGAGTATGACGTATGAGCCAGCCATCACTGTGTTCGACCATATTTTGGGAGCCCAATGACCCGGCCCATAACGCCGCCACATATCTGAACTGTACAGAACGGATTTTCATGAAAATTTACAGTAATATAGCATATGCATTAAAATAACACATAGGCGCTATACTTTATATTGAAATTTAACGTAAGTGAAGCCGCGGGCACAGCTAGTAATGTTATAAACTATTGAATTGTGGTAAATAACATCATCTGCCTCACATATCTCGCCATATTTCGTTGTACTGGTCTAAAAATAAATATTTTACGACCCACTTTTATGTTTCGTGACGATAAAAATATTCTATCTCGCACGTATTTCTAAATTATAAAATGGCAAGATTGACATATAGGTGACTTTTTATGGCTCATTCTATGTATGTATTTATATGTATAATAAATAATTGCAATGGACAATTCACACAGCACCATCCATTCCCAAACTAAGCAGAGTTTCTACTATAGGCACTGTAGAAGTCTTAGATAATTGTATAGGAAATTGTAAATAACTTTCATTATTTTTTAAACAATTTACATGTTAATAAACTAAACTATGTATATTAATATATAATGTGTTATTCTGATGTATAAGCTATACAACTGTAAAATTTCATAAAAATCAAAGAAAAAAGTGTCAGGGTCTAGCTTAAAAAATGACGAATTTCTATACAAACTTTCATTATATTATATTTCATTATATTATATTTATATTATATTTTATTGTAAGGGTAAAATTACGCGCTAAAATATCAAAGACTTCACGGAAACGGTTTATTAAAACCTATATCTGGAGTATAGCCTTGTATGCGTGTGAGACGTGGACATTAAATCAAAAGGAAAGAGACAAACTGGAGACTTTTGAAATGTGGTGTTGGAGAAGGATGCAAAGAATTAGCTGGAAGGATAAAGTAAGAAACGAAGAAGTACTACACAGGGTAAAAGAAAAAAGGCAGATATTGAACACAATAGAAAATAGACGAGGAAAAATGTTAGGACACTTGATACGGCGCGATGATTTCATGAAAATTATTATTCAGGGGAAAATAGAAGGAAAGAGGGGGAGGGGAAGATCAAGGAATAGCTACATCAAACAAACTGAGGACAAAATGGGAGTCGTGTCGTATCAAGAATTAAAGAGCATGATGGAAGTTCGCGGAAAGTAGCAAGAGCTCCACCGACAAGAGCGTAGCTCTTAAATTATGAATAAATGAATGAAGGGTAAAATGTTATATTTAATCAGGAGCCTAAAAAATAAGTTTCAAACTTCTAGCATTAAAAATGACAATACTTCCATGCAACATTTCAATCCGTTACAACACTTTTTAGCATTAAAAAGTAGCCTATGACCTATATCAGGCTCTATGCTGTCTCTGTATAAATTTCATTTAAATCGATTCAGTAGATTTGGCGTGAAAGCGCGACAGACAGACAGCCAGACACTTGTGAGATCTACAGATAAACGTTAATGTAAATAGATAAATAAAAAAAATACTTTATATTTACGAATGTTCAATTCAAAATATCTTTATTCATATAGGTCTATTACAGATTCTTATGATATGTCAAATCTACCGTCAGTTCGGAGTGATTTCGAGCTGAGAAAAATTGAGAAGAAATTCAGCCTGTATCAAATTTTTATTTATTTATTATTATTCTATTATAGATGAGGCTGTCACAAGCATTGTTATATGTTGACGTAATACCATCCCAAATTTGAATTTAAATAATCTGTATTATTGTAAATATGTTCAACATTTATTTTAAACAAAATACGAGCTGAGTTTCTTGTCAGTTCTTCTCATCTCGAAATCACTCCGAACTGACGCTAGATTTGACATATCATAAGAGTGTGTAATAGAACTACATGAATAAAGATATTTTGAATTTTGAATTTAAGGAACTAAAGTCATTTAGTATACTTAATTCACATTCATACATTCTTACTAATATTATAAATGTGAAAGTTAGTAAGAATTTTTTTTTTATAACACAGGGGACAAACGAGCATGCGGCTCACCTGATGGTAAGTGATTACCGCCGCCCATGAGCACCCGCAACACCAGGGGAATTTCAAGTACGTTGTCGGCCTTTTAAAAAGAAATAAGCTCTTTTCTTGAAGGTTTCAATATCGTATCGGTTCGGAAATACCATTGCTGGAAGGTGATTCCACAATGTGGTTGTGCGGGCAAAAAGTTTCTAGAAAACCGCACTGTGGAAGACCGCCATTCATCCAGATGATCAGGATGGTATTTCAGTTTCTGGCGGGTGGTACGGTGTTGAAACTCAGCAGCTGGTATTAATCCGAACAATTCCTCAGAACACTCCCCGTGATATATGCGGTAGAAAATGCACAGAGATGCAATATCTCGCAGCAGCAAAGCCAATGGGTCGAGTCTGTCACATAGACGTTGATTACCAATGATTCTGGCTGCGCGGTTCTGAATGCGGTCAAATGGAAGTAGCTGGTATTGTGGTAAGTATGGATGGATGTTTGTTACTCATTTACTCATAAACTACTGAACGGTTTTTGATGAAACTTTACAGTAATATACCTTATACATTAGAATATAACATATTAGTTATAAATTTCATGCGGGTGAAAGCACATACAAATTATTACAATAAGGCGACGGGGTTCTGTGATACAGTTTTTAATAAAATTTTGTAAGTTATGCAATGAATGTACTGTAAGATATACGTAACAATAAGAACAAACTGAGGTGTACACTTGTGATAATGAGGAAACCGTGTCAAGTGGATCCTGTATGTTGTCAGTATTTGAATCAAACGTTAAATCCGCCAATTCTATTCAATTACCAGTTAGACAAATGAAAAGTGGTAAAAAATAAGATTTTCTAAAGTATATTTAATAGGTTCAACATAGAGTACTTTATTGTCTGTATATATATCACTAATTGTTACTATAAATACATAAATAAAAAATATAATTTTGATATTTTTGTGACACCAATTTATACACTTACCTATACATGTAAATAAAATTGTATTGTCTGTTTGTATTATTGAAGTAACCGTTTTTACTACATGCATATGAATATAAATACGGTACATACACCAAAATAACATTTTTTTAAATTTTTGTCTGGCTGTCTGTCTGTTTGTTCCGGTTAATCTCTGAAATGGCTGAACCGATTTTGACGGGACTTTTTTTGGCAGGTAGCTGATGTAATAAGGAGTAACTTAGGCTACGTTTGAGAAACAAAGTTAAATTCCACGCGGACGATGTCGCGAGAACAGGTCAATAAATAAATTGTATACATATTTATTGTTTCAATCGTTTTATGTTTATCGTGTTTTGTTATCGTATGCTGATTGATAGTCATCTATCAAGAGACACCGTGCCGTAAACATATGAGATGAGTAGTAATGAAGAATAATGAAGAATAAAAAG